TTCCGCGGTGCAAAAGGCAGGGTGTAGCCTCATTTCCTCAGCTGCTCAGATCGCTTGGAATTTGAAGTTCACGCCTAGAATTTCCCATTTAATCTTCGTGGACTTCCTGGAGGAGGCGGTGCCCCAGGAGTGGAGGAGGCAGGCGGCCAGGCCCACCCTCTGGTGACCTGGCTGTGAAGGGAGGGCGAGGTCTGAGTGAGTCCTCCTGCAGGACAGCCAGGCTCCCAGGAGCCGGACGGTGGCGTCGGCGCCTGGCACGCAGCGCCTGGCACGCAGTCCGGCGCGCAGCGAAAGGACTTAAGAAAGTTCGTTACTGTTTTATGAACGTTGTTACGTGTTTGCACAGGAAGTGGAAGCATGTGAGGATGTCCTCTCTCTCCCTCTCCCTCTCTCTCTCTCTCTCTCTCTGTCTCTCTTCTTCCCTCCTTCCTCCTCCCCCCCATCCCCTTCCTTTCCTTTCCCTTCCCTTTTTCTTATTTGTTAATTGACTGACTGCACGCTGGAGACGAGCGGAGCCCAGGGTCCCTCACGTGCTAGGCGAGCCACACCCGTGTTTCTTGTTTATATTTTTGGGGTGCTGGGGATGGAGCCCTGGGCCTTCTGCACGCTAGGCGGGTGCTCAACCATGGAGCTGCGCCCCAAGCCGCCAAAGACCTGTGTAACTCCTGCATCCCAAACTGTGACGGCCACGTGGGAGCTTTTCTGAGCCTCAGTTTCCCTGTCTGTTGGACTTGACCTGTTTGGGTTTCGAGATAACGCGGGATCCTTTGGAGCATTTGAAGGCTGTGAAGTGGGTTGTGGACTTGGGGACTCTCCTAGTTGGATGTCCCCTTCTTTTCTAGGGAAACACAGCCCTTTTGGTTTTGATGATTTTACAAATGGAGTCTTGCATTTACCCCCAGACCTTGAGTGGGATTATAAATCTGAACCAACACACCCAGCTTTTATTAGTCAAGATGGGGTCTCACTGTTTGCCCACGATGACCTCAAACCGTGATTCCTCTGATTTCTGCTTCCCAAGTAGCTAGGATTGCACACACGTGCCACCGTGCCTGGCCTTGTTCTTTGAGATAGGGTCTCACAAACTTGCCTGGGCGAGCCTTGAACCACTAACTTTATTTCCACTTCCCAAGTAGCACCACCATGCCCAGCTCTGTTTGTTAATCTGTAAAATGTGTAACAAGATTTCCTGGCTCCCTGGGCTTCGGGAGGGGGCCCTGGGGCAGTGACTGCAGGATTGGAGGCAGAGTAAGGCTTGCATTTGTTTTTTTACTGGAGGTGAGATTGGCTTAACTCAGAGCAAACCATTTGAAAGAGCAGAGTTTGTACTACTCAGGGACTAATGTACGAGGGCCAGTCCCTCTAGTTTCTAAGTTAAATTTTCTTGGGGGGAGGGATGGGACTGGGGTTTGAACTCACAGCCTCACGCTTGCTAGGCAGACACTCTACCACTTGAGCCACTCCACCAGTTCTTGTGTGTGTTGGGGTTTTTTTTTTCATGATAGGGTTTCAAGAACTATTTGCCTGGGGGCTGGATTCAAACCCAGATCCTTCTGACTTCTGCTTCCTGAGTAGCTGGGATTACAGGCGTGAGCACCGGCACCAGCTAGCTGCAGGTTTTATAGACATGAATAATAACAGCTGGCAGTTACTTGGTATCTCTTGCCAGACGGCCTAAGCACTTTACAAATAAGTCATTTAATCCTTACATCAGCCCTGAGGGGGAGATGTTTCTGGATTATCCATGTTCACACCCTGGGGAAATTATGAAAATTGCCCCAAATCACAGAGCCAGTGGGTCTGGAAGCCTGGACTTTGCCCTCTCCTGCTGACCTTTCTAGCAGTTTCCCCCCATGCATCCTGGAATTAAAGGTGTGAGCTACCAGTGCCTGGCTTGTATGTCATTTTTAATTAACTATTTTTGGTGGGACAGGGGTTTGAACTCAGGGCTTCCCGCTTGCAAAGCAGGTGCTCTACGGCTTGAGCCACACCTCCACTGCATTTTGCTCTGGTTAGTTTGGAGATGGGGTCTCGAGAACTATTTGCCTGGACTGGCCTTGAACCGTGATCCTCCTGATCTCGGCCTCCCAAGAAGCCTGGATTATAGATAGAACCACCAGTGCCTGGCTTGTATGTGATTTATTTACTTAGTCCCCACCTGATGGACACACACGTTGGTGCCAAGTTTGTCAGGGATGATGGCCCCATGTGTTCGTTGGTGGCCCTGATGTGACAGTTCTGTAGGAGGCAGTTGGAGGTGAGTTGTTAGGCTCTGGCGCCGGCCTGGGTTCCTGTCCCCGTTCTGTGTCCTCTGCATGCCTGTGTGACCTCGAGTTGTCAGCTGTGCTCACCAGGAGGAGCAGGGAGACCCTGCCTCAGGGATTCTCCAGGCGTCCTGGCAGTCACTGTCCCCAGAGCTGTAATGGAGCCACGGTGGCCGCTGCTCCGTCCCCAGGGACATGCACCTTGGTATCGGTGAGGCCAAGAGGGGCTCCGGTCACTGGCGATGCTGACCTTCACCTCGACCCCAAGCCAGGCCGGGGTGCGTGTGGCCCCCTCAGGGTTTGTGAGTCCCTCGAGCGGTCAGGGGTGCCTTTGATCTTCTGTGCGTCTGGTCCCCTGCACGCTGGAAATAACCCTCAGGTGGTCAGAGTCCTCTGTGGAATGTCCCTCGGGGGCCAGGCCCTGGGCAGGGAACATGGCCTGGACCACGAGTCTCCCTCCGCACCCCCATCAGGAAGGGAGCCCTCTGCAGGGCCGGGCGGGAGAGCCAGGCATTAAATTCACAGCCAGGTGACAGGTCTGTGTGTCAAGTTGTCACAGGCAAGGGAGTCACTTGGGGTGGGTGGCTCTTCTCTGTGGCCCACGGGGGTGCCGGTGCCTGAGGGCCGAGGGGGACAGGAATCGAGGCCATGGCAGAGGTGGGGGTTAGCTGGTGTACAGTGACAGGTGAGGAGGCCGTGGGGACCACAGATTCCCGCACACTCCCACTGTCCCGTCTTGTCCCGCTGCAGATGTGTCACCCCACCCCCGAGTGCCACTCATGGAGTGCCCGGTCCCTCTGGCTGTCCCCTCCTGGCGGGGGCAGGAGAGAGTTTGGGCAGCGTGAGGCCCTGTGGCTGGCGGCAGCCGTTGGTGACATCTGGGGCCCGGGCGGGACAGGCCGGGCTTCGCGGCCGGGCAGGAAGAGCTGGTGCCTGAGTGATGTAAGCTGTTGCGCAAAGCCGGGGCTGTGGCTTCCGGAGCTTCCACGCCTGCTGCACCGAGGAGGAAGCCAGGACTGGGCAGGGCTCCCGGGCCCTGCTGTCCCCGGCCCGGGCCCCATGTTTGAACCGATTGGCCACCATGGCCCTGGGGCCCGAGGGCTTGGCGCTGGAGTCTGGTGAGGGCTGTGTGTGGGGAGGGCTGGACAGGGGCCGTGGTGATGGGCAGGTGGCCCGGGGCTGTCCCTCACTGCCCTGGCTTCTGCTGACTGTTCTGGGGACCAAGGTAAAGCCATCTCCCCCAGGAGGACCCTAAAAGACCTGGGTGGACGTTGTGGGGTCCGCGTCCCTGCGTGTGTGGCTGGGCTGGGGTCCGTGAGCTCCCTGTGGGCCGGACCAGGACACCTGCACCGTCTGTGTGTCCTCTGCAAAGTCGCTGAACCTCTCAGTGCCACCTGCGAGCGTCCCCTCGAGAGACTAGACGGGGTCTCCAGGCGCTGGGCGAGGTCTCCCCCTCCCCGGCCTTGTTCGGGACCCGGCAGCCTCCCCTGGAGGGCAGAATTGGGACACCACAAAGGCACTCTGTTCACCATTACTGCCGCTGTAAAAACCGGCGTTTTCATTCCTCTGTTAAGCGTGTCCCCCTCTTTTACCTGTGGCTTTCAAATGCGGGTTTTGTTGTTTTTTTCCTTTTTTTTGAGGCAGGGTCCCTCTTGTAGCCCAGGCCAGCTTCTACCTGCCTCAGCCTCCCTGAGTGCTGGGATTACAGGCGGTGCCACCACACCAGACAAGGGGAGGCCTCTTTTTACCCAGTCTGTGTATGAGCACCGTCACCTCACTAAGGAAGGCCCTTTGGCCCAGAACTCACGCCTGGCCTCTGACTCCTGAGGCCTGCCAGGGTCTTCCTCGGCAGGTGGATATTTAGAGGTTGGGGGTGGTCCTAGGCGGCAGTGAGGGGGTGTCCTGTTGGGTGTGTGAACCTCGCCAAATGACGGTGGAAAGAAGTGGGCTCAGTGTCCTTCTCAGTGTCCTTCCAAGCAGCTGGTCACCAAGGCTCCCGTAAGCAGGGCTCGTGTTTGTGGAGAGCCAGTTCTGGGCAGAGTACCCCATTATTTGCTCCTGATTTGACCCCTAACATTGGTGGCTCAGGGTGGGCTCTGGGCTGTCCAGTTTTGTGAGTAACAAGAACTTACTGTTCCTTGGTTGTGCGATCCAGCTCTTCCAATCTCCGGGCCTCAGTTTCCCCATCTGAAAAGTGGGCACACGGGGCTGACCATCACTTCCAGGGCTTGTGCACATCCAGGGCTGCTCGGGGTCCTGGGAACAGCCTGTCTCTTTTGACAGTATCGCCCCAGGCCTGGGCGCTCTGTGGGGCCCAGAGTCCCCCACCTCTGTCTGACCCCCACCTCCTTGCTCTGTGGCCCTGGGAGGTCCTGCCCCACCCCTCCAGGACCCCTGACTTTAGGACTCGGTTTCCCTCTGTGAATAGGGAGGAGGCTGCCCCATGGGCCTGGCTGGTTGACAGCAGGGATGGTGCAGTCTTTGGGGTCCTGTGGGGGAACTCTGGGGATGAGGCTTGCCGGGTGGGCTTTCTTGTGCCTGTTTTTGTCCCTGAGTTTTCCCCAGCCCTGGGAGGGGTTGAGTGGATGAGACCCGTCCTGTAGCTGAGGGGCTGGGGGGTCAGGGATTTTCCTGGGGCCTCCATGCAGTTGGAGGGGGTGAGACGGGGGTCTTGGCATGGTGGGCCTGGGTTGTGGTGGCCTGTTTGGCTGCCTGACAGCCCCCTTTTCTCTGCAGGCGAGGCCTTCTTGGGCAGTTTTGTGGCCAGCGGGATGGGGCCCTCGGCCTCATCCCAGGGGAGCCCTGTATCCCTGCCCTCTGACCTCTCGTTCCGCTCCCCCACGCCCAGCAATCTGCCCATGGTGCAGCTGTGGACCGCCCATGCCCACGAAGGTAAGGAGCCTGCGTGCGGGCGGGGCTGAGGGCTGCTGGGCTGCTGTCCCTACCCTACCCCATGGGGCATTTTCTGTCCCCAGCACTTGTGGTGTCTGCCCCTTACCTCTCTTCTCCACCTCCAATGATCACCACTCTCGGTGTGGCTCATGGGTCCAGCTCTGCCCTATTATGCCTTTTTCTTGTTGCCCCAGGACCTTTGCATGTGCTGCTCGTCTGCTTGCAGTCCCTTACCCCTGCCCCTTGCTGTCTCCTGACCCTCTTAATGGGGGGCCAGCTCAGTCAGCCCCTCTCTCCTGACCGTTCTGTGGGGACCAAAGATTGACTTGTTTTATTATTCCCAAACCATTGATTTTGCGGTGGCGAGAGCTCTGAGGGCAGGTGTTTTCTGAGCCTGATGTTTTCCCCAAGCCCGAAGCTGAAGGATTTGGACAGACTGAGCACCTGCCAGCACCTGAATCTGTCACCATGGGCTGTGTGCAGCTGCATTTCACCCATGAGGAGGCATCAGATAGGGGCAGAGGTGTCCCTGGCCACAGGACCCCCACCAGGCCTGATGCCGTGGTCCTTCCAGGGCCCTGGGGCAGGCACCAAAATCCTGGAAGCTGGGGGACGGGGATGCACCCTATGTGGAGGAGGCTGTCCTTCCTCTGTGGGGTGCTAGCCACAGGCCCAGGAATGGTGGCCCTTGTGGGCTGAGACCTGCTTGAGTCCCCCTCACTGTGGCTGGCCAGAGCAAGGACTGCAGAGACTGGGAGAACACAGGCCACCTCTGGTCCCTGTGTGCCACCAACTCGTTCCTTCCTGAGGCTGCCTTTTGTCTTTTGCCCACATACCCTGGTGAATAGTAACATATGGCAAATGCTGACATGACTGTCCCCTTTGGGGCTGCATTCTTTTATTTTTTTTTTTTTGGCAGTGCTGGGGTTTGAACTCAGGGCTTCACGCTTGCTAGGCAGGTGCTCTACCACTTGAGCCACTCCCACAATTCCCCGGGGGCTGCATTTTTGAGCTCATTTATCCTCAGAACCAGCCCTGGGGCGTGGGACCAAGGTGCCTATTTTCCAGATGAGTGCAAAGGGACCTGAAGCGACCGAGTGTCGGTTTGGTGATTAAATAAGCTATTATTGCCAGGTGGTGTTTTGGGATTTTTGATTGTTAATGTCACTGTCAGGTGATTGTGTAGGGAGACACGGACGCTGGGCCAGGAACAGGTCTTGTGTCCTTGGTTTCAGAATGAGCTAGGACAGGGGGAGGGAGACCTGGGTTCCTCAGGGGGCTGCAGTAGGGCCCCAGGCCCAGGCGGAACACAGAGGACTTGTCCCTGCAGGGGTGACCAGCAGGGTTCATTACCTGTGTGCTCTTAGCTGTCCTCTTCCCGCCTGTGCCCAGCCGTCCCCCATTCTAGGCACTGCTGGCAGGTACCTTTTAGGGACAGCCACAGTGGTTTGTTACCAAAGAAAAGAAAATCCTGTAGGAGGCAAAAAAGTGGTGCAGCTCTGCTTTTTCTCCTCCCCGACCCCCAGGCTTCTCCCACCTGCCCAGCGGGCTGTACCCGTCCTACCTCCACCTGAACCACCTGGAGCCCCCCAGCAGCGGGAGCCCTCTCCTCAGCCAGCTGGGCCAGCCCGGCATTTTTGATACCCAGAAAGGTGAGGGGGCAGGAGTGGGTGGGACTGGGGGGTTTTGGTTCCTGTGATGCTTCTCTGAGCCCCCCTCCAATATCCCAAGCAGTTCCCCCTCCCCTTTCTTTGGTGGGGATTGAACCTGGGGCCTCTTCAATGCCAACTTGAGGCATACCCCCAACCTTTTTGTTTGTAGTTTGTTTTTCTGACAGGGTCTCTTGCCCTGACTAGTCTGGAACTCCTGATTCTCCTGTCTTCAGCCTCCTGAGTAGTTGAGATTACAGGCATGCCCCACCATGCCTGGTTGTAGCTTTGCTTTCTAAGACTCTGTCCTAAGATGCCTTTTTGAGCCCCTCAGCCCCTCAGGGTCCCATTGCTCAGTGGGTTTCCCATGCACTCTCACTTGTTTAAGCCCCCTGGAAGGTGCTTTAAAACCACCCTGGGAGGCTCCTGTAATCCTAGCTACTTGGGAGGCTGAGATCAGGAGGATCAAGATTTGAGGCCAGCTGTGGCAAATAGTTCTGTAGACCTCATGCCCCAAAAGAACCAAGAACAAAGTGGACTGGAGGTGTGGCTCAAGCAGTAGAGCGCCTGCAAAGCCCTGAGTTCAAACTCCATCCCACCAAAAACAAACAAAAAAATCTCACCGCTCTTGGGCATATAAGGAAACTGAGGCTTAGGGCAAGATGTCAACTTGGCATTTCTAGAGGGTGACACTTTGCCCTATGGGGAGTGTGTGTGCGTGTGTGCTTAGCTCACTTGTGTCCTCTCCTCTGCAGACGGTTTCTACCTGCCAGCCCCGGGGGCTGCAGGTGTCCTGCACTCTCATGCACCGTCCTCCAGGACTCCTGGCAGCGGTGGTGGCAGTGGCCACTCCTCAGGTGCCCTGGCCAAAGGCTCATCCCGGGAAGGAGCCACCAAGGAGCGGGTGGGCCGAGGTGGGGAGCCACCCCCGCTGTTCGGGAAGAAGGACCCAAGAGCTCGTGAGGAGGCTACAGCGACAGGGCCACGTGGCTGTGTGGTGGACCTGACCCAGGACATAAGGGTGGAGGGCCGCCAGGATCGGGGACCCCCGCGCCTGGCTGAGCGCCTGTCGCCTTTCCTAACCGAGGCCAAGGTCAAGGGCGCCCTGCAGCCATCAGCACTGAGCTTGTGTAATGGTGGTGGCGGTGGTGGCGCAGGGGACACAGGGCTGCCACCTGCTCTGGTGGCTGAAGCAGCAGGTCGTGGAGGAGGCGCCAAAGAGGCCACCCGGCAAGACGAGAGCGCACGGCTATTGCGGTTACCTGCGCCGCGCCCTGGCGGGTCCCCACTGCCACCGCCGCCACCGCCACCACCGCCCCCCAAAGGACCCTCTGCGCCCCCGTCCTCGGCGCCCGCGGGCGTCTACACCGTGTTCCGCGAGCCGGGTCGGGAGCACCGCGTGGTGGCGCCCACCTTCGTGCCTTCCGTGGAGGCCTTCGACGAGCGCGCGGGGCCCATCCAGATCGCATCGCAAGCGCGCGATGTCCGGGTGGCCGCCCGCGACCGTGAGGTGGCCCGACCTGGGGTCTTACAGGTGCCCCCACCAGGATCCCCAAGGCCTGAGGTTTTGCGTGAAAAGAACTCAGTGATCCGCTCACTCAAGCGCCCTCCGCCACCACCGCCGCCGCCGCCACCCAGCGATGCGCCCTCGGCGCCCCGCGCAGCGCGCGCCTCCCCGGACACGCGCGCCGCGTACCTGGCGACCAAGGAGCTGCTGAAACCCGAGGTGGAGCCGCGTGCCTGTGACCGTGACCGTGACCGTGACCGTGACCGTGCGCCCCGAGGCTCCACCAAGCTCTTCGGCTTGGAGCCCGTGCGCCCCCCTGCGGGACCCGAGCACAAATGGAAACCTTTCGACTTGGGCAACTTTGCCACCACGCAAATGGCCGTGTTGGCCGCGCATCACCACCACGCTGCCGCCGCCGCCGCTGCTGATGAGGCCGTGGCCACCTCCAAGAAAGCCTATCTGGACCCTGGTGGAGGGGCGCTGGCCCGGGGTGGCCGCCCCGGTGTCCCCGAGCTGCACCCCGGAGCGCACGGGCCTGGAGAGGCATCGGCCATGCAGAGTCTCATTAAATACAGCGGCAGCTTTGCGCGCGACGCCGCCGCCGTGCGCCCTGGTGGCTGTGGCAAGAAGAGTCCCTTTGGAGGGCTGGGGACCATGAAACCCGATCCTGCTCCCACTTCTGCGGGTGTCCCCCGAACTCAGGCCCGACTCCCCCATCCCGGAGGCCCTGCAGCAGGTGGAGGCCGGCAGCTGAAAAGGGACCCCGAGAGACCCGAGAGCGCCAAGGCCTTTGGGCGCGAGGGTGCGGGTGCCCAGGGGGAGGCCGAAGTGCGACACCCGCCCGTGGGCATTGCTGTGGCTGTGGCCAGGCAGAAGGACAGTGGGGGCAGTGGCCGACTGGGGCCTGGACTGGCTGACCAAGAGCGATCCCTGTCACTGAGCAATGTCAAAGGTAGGTCCTGGGTACTTTCTTAGTTTTCTTTTTGGTGGCACTAGGATTTGCACTCAGGGCCTCAAACTTGCTAGGGAAGGTGCTCTACCACTTGAGCCACTCCCTCACCCTGTGTGGTGGTGGATATTTTTGAGATAGGGTCTCTAGAACTATTTGCCCAGGCTGGTTTTGAACCTTGATCCTCCTGCTCGCTGCCTCTGGAGTAACCAGGATTACAGATGTGAGCCACTGCACTCCTACCTTCATCTTCTCAGTCGCTGAGACTACAGGCCAGCAACACTACAACCAGCTCATTTTGCTAATTTTTTTTTTACTCAGGCTGGCCTCGAACTCTTGCACCCAGTTTTCCTTGCTTTCCTGGCACCTTTAAGTGTCCCTCTGTTGAGAGCGTCATTGCCTTCCTCAGTGTGCGTAGAGAAGGCTGTGCAAGGTGCAGAAAAGGAACAAAAAGCACCGTTTTATTTTCTTATCTTTCCTGGAAATCGTTTTCCTGGACTTGTTGCTGTTACCCGCAGAGCTGCTGGCTGGCGAGGCCCGGCAGCTGTTCCCCTATCGCTGCGTGCACGGTTTCCCCTACAGTGGCACGCGCTTTGTAAGCGTCATTCTTTTGTGGCCTCTGATTCCCTGTGGAAAGCACGCACCAGCAGACAGCATGCTTAGGTCTCCGTTCCCTGGTGGGCATTTGAGGCTTTTGAGCTCTGATGTTTTGTGTTCAGAACATTGCATGGAATATTTTTGTGCAGTGTGCACCTCCATGATATTTTCAGTCATTTTCCTAAGAATAGAGGGCCCTAGGAAGAGACTCACCTGAAGTGCTAGAGCAAGGTGTAAGCTGACCCCATCTCACTTCACTGTTCCGGTGGTGCACAGCCAGCCTGGGGGCCTGGCACCTAGTAGGTATTGGATAAATGACTGAATAAGTGTGATAGGTAGAAGCTAGGGTTCCAACTGGTTTTTTGTTGTTGTTGTTGGTTTTTGGTGGTAATTACGAGGCAGGTGCTGTACTACTTGAGTCACTCACTCAGCCCTTTTTGTATTAGTTGTTTTTCAGATAGGGCCTCGCTTTATGCTCAGGCCGGCCTGGACTATGACCGTCTAAATTTTGCTTCTCATGGAGCTGGATGACAGGCATGCATCACCACGCCCAGCCATTGCTTGAGATGAGGTCTTGCGAACTTTTTGCCCAGCTGGCCTCTGAACTGTGATCCTCCCATCTCTGCCTCCTGAGCAGCTAGGATTGCAGGCGTGAGCCACTGTGTTTGGCTTTCTGTGTTCTTATGGATTGACATTCAGTACACAGAGGACTCTTTAGGTAGTTGGCTTTTTCTTTTTTTGTCTTTTTTTTTTTCTTAAATTTTTTTTTTTCTTGTGGCATAATGGGGCTTGAACTCAGGGCCTTCACCTTGAGCCTCTCCACCAGCCCGTTTTTTTTTTTTTTTTTTTTTTGGTGAGTTTTTTTGAGATAGGGTTTCATGAACTATTTGGCCAGGGTGGCCTCGAACTGTGATCCTTTTGCTCTCTGCCTCCTGAGCAGCTGGGATTACAGGCGTGAGCCACGGTGCCCGGCTAAGCTGCTGCGTTCATTCTGGAAGGGTGGTGCATTTCTTTTAACTACAGCAAGGTTGGCTGTTGTTCTGGAGCTGGATTTTGGGTTGGATTTCCTTGTGGTCTCACACATGTGCCTGTTGAGCCCCTCCTGGATTTGGGGGCCTTGATGTTCGTGGCGTGTGTTGCCATTTGGACTTGATCTGTCCAGAAAAAGGCCTGTTTGTTGATCGGACGACCCGGCCTGTGGTTCGTGGCGTCCACAGGCCGGCTGAGGGCCTGGGAAGTCTGTGTGCAGCTGAGCCTGGGTCATGTGGCTTCTCAAATCAGCCTCTTCTCCAGCTCTGGTCCCTTCCTCACCGTTGACCCCAGGCCTGGGCTTTTGTCCACCGTACCTCGAGGCCGCTCTCTCCAGCTCCCGGGCTCCACTCCTCCAGTTTTCAGCCTGTTTTCTCTTTTTTTTTCTTGTGGCTGTTTTGGGGTTTGAACTCAGGGCTTTGCGCTTGCTGGGCAGACCCTCTCTCACTTGAGCCGCACCCCCAGCCCTTTTGCTTCCGTTTTTTTTTTTTAGACAGGGTCTGTGTTTTCGCCCAGGGTCTGCCTTAGACTGTGATCCTGTCTCTGTTCCTGAATAGCTGGGATTATAGGTGTGCACCATGTCGCCCAGCTGCACTGGGACCTTGTGTCCAGGTCTCCTGGTTCCTCCTGGGTCCCTGCCTCCCTTGGCCTGGCTCAGGCTGCCTCTTGAGCTCCGGGGTCTGCTTCTGTGTCTGGTCCCTGGGGTCTCCTCGGTCCTCTGTCCCAGCCATTCTCCAGATGATCCAGGAAGGCCCAGGGTACCTCACCTTTCTGCAGTCCACCCCCTACCTCTGGGTTGCCGTCTCTGGCTGATCCCTGGATGCCCCCGCATCCTCAGGGAACCTCAGAGCCTTTGGGCTTCGAGTTAGAAGCGAGGCTCTGTCTGCAAGTTCTCCTGACTAGATTGCTGCTGGCTGAGTGACGTATAGTGGATGGTTGTTGACTGACTGACTGAGCCCATTGTCTGGGCAGAGATGTCTGGATCTGAGACAGCTGGGCCTCCGACCGAGGGGGTTTTTAGGAGCACCTGCCTTAGTCTGGGCTGGAGGGGGTTGGAAGTGGCCAGCTCTGGTGGACAAGCCGTCTGCTCAGAGTTTGAGGCTGGGGACCCCAGGGGCTGTGCCACATGTAGTATTGATATGACAGCGCTCTTGGCGGGGTTCCCGCCTGTCTCCGAGGGACCCGTGCCGCGGGGTCGTGGTGAGTGTGCAGCGGAGAGGGGGAGGAGATGGATGTGTGCTCCAGGTGGGTGGCTGGGCTCTTTCTGTCCCCAAGAGGAATCCTCTAAGAAGTGGCGGGTTTCTCTCTCGGCAGCGTGGCCCCAGTGCTGAGCAGCCTTGGCGGGGACTGGGTGCCCTGGGGTCCCGGTGTTTTTCTTCAGTACTGGAGTTTGAACTCAGGGCCTCCACCTTGAGTCAGTCCACCAGCCCTTTTTTTTGTGCGATGGGTTTTTTCGAGATAGGGTCTCTTTGAACCACGATCTCCTGATCTCGTGGCGTGAGCCACCAAGACCTTAAACTCTCGGTCCTCCTGTCTTGGCCTCCCAAGTGCCGGGATTACAGGTGTGTGCCACCCCTCCCGCCTTTATTGAGCGCCTCCTCTCCGTCGGGTGTAGTGAAGGGGAGACGTAGACAGCTATGACTGGGACATTTCAAAGCCGAGTAACGCAGTCTGGCAGAGCAGAAAAGAATAGCTGCTTGCCGTGGTCAGTACCCTGAGGGAGGAGAGGTGGTCAGGGAGGGCTTCCTGGAAGTGGTGGCTTTCAAAATTCTGGTTGAGTAGCCCAGGGGAAGGGCCCTGGGTGGAGGGAACAGTGTGTGGCCTGGAGGTGTGTCACGCTGAACTGCTCTGTGAGGTGATGATTTTAGCAGGGCTTATAGGCTACGGGGAGCCACTGAGGGGTGAGGGTGGAGCTGGAGCCCAGCCCAGAATGGGGTGAGGTGCGTCAGGCATGCCGAGTTTCTTTGAGAGACCAATGAATTTGAAGGGTGTAGCCTGGTGGTGGGGACAGTGGCTGTTTTGATCCTGCAGACAAGTACCTGGTGGCAGGTGGTGCCTGGGACAGGAAGTCCCTGGGACCATGGCAGGGGAAAGGACCAGGGAGGGCAGGTGGCTTAGGTTCTGGGAGTCGTGTCTGTCTGTCCGGGGGGAGAGGAGGAAGCGGAGGACTTGCCCTGATTTCTCCCCACAGCTGCTGGACTCAGGGGAGGCCCTCTGTGCCTGAGACTGTTGCTTGTCATCTGAGCCTCAGTTTCCCTGGGTGGTCCATGAGCAGAGCCCCCCTGGTCCTGTCATCCTGCTCATTTGTCCTGCTTGAAGGGGCTTTTATGGTTTTTTTTTTTTTGGTGGGATCAGGATTTGAACTCGGGGCTTTGTGCTGGGTAGGCAGGTGCTTGAGTCAGGCCCGCAGCCCGGCCGACTCAGCACTGCTGGCTGCTTGTGGCTGTGTGGAAATGATCTTGCGGGAGGACCAGGACCTGCCGTGCCCTGAATCTGCCTCCCTGTGCTCCCGATGGCAAAAATGGGGATTCCCTGATCTCCCAGCTGGTCTCACCATGCCTAGCATGCATGAGACCCCGTGTTCAATCCAAAAAGAAGAAGAAAGAAGAGAAAGGAATAAAAAACGTGGCAGAGCTGGGCATGACACAGCTATAATCCCAGCAAGCTCGAGGCCCTGAGTTCAAACCCCAGTACTGCCGAAAAAGAAAGAAATTTCACGGAGGCTCCCTGTTGTCCCTGGCCTACCTCCAGAGCTTCTGGGTGGCCACTTCTCTAGTGATGGGTCCCCTTCCCCCATGCACAGCTGCCTGGCCGCGCCCCCAGCATCCTGGTTTTCATAGCTGTGCCCCCTCTGTGGGCTTCTCTCTGACTTGTGGGTCCCCACCTTCCGGGAAGGGGCCCGGCATTCCTGAGGTCGTCCTGGGGTCTCTGTGTTTTAAGGCCTCCTGATTTTGGGGGTTCAGGCAGAGAGGTGAGGATGGAAACATTCAACAGTAGCATTCCAAGTTGGATGGACACCTGGCCGGGCGTTGTGCACACGCCTGTAATCCCAGCACCTGCGAGGCTGAGGCAGGAGGATGGTGACTTCCAGGCCAGCCTGGGCTACATAGCAAGATCCTGTCTCAAAAAACCAAAACCCCATAAGGGTCCGGAGTGTGCGCTGTCATAGGCCTTGGCAGGGATGCCCTGCTGGGGCCAAGTCCCCAAGGTGGCTGGTGGTGCTGTTGGTTGGGTGTCCAGGGCCGGGGATGACCACACTGTACTGTGACTCTAGCCACAGTTGTCCATGGAGGTGACAGACAGGCTTTTGGGGGCAGGGGGAGGATGCAGGTGACGTTACCTGGCGCGGAGACCCCGTGCGGGTTTGAGGGAGCCCAGTGTGTCCGAAGGACCTGGGTTCCAGGGTAAGGAGCCACACGGCTGGCCCCGGGGGGTCCCTGGGGGCTCTGGGGTGCAGGAAAGGGAGGCCGGGGCGGTGAGAAATGGGTGAGGAAGCAGTGGGGGGCTCACGGTCACCTGGGGCCCCGCAGGGCACGGCCGGGCGGATGACGACTGTGTGGATGACCGCAGTCGACACCGAGAGGAGCGGCTGCTGGGGGGACGGCTGGACCGTGACCAGGAGAAGCTGCTACGGTGAGGGTTTGGGGGGCCGGGCTGGGGGAGCCGTGGAGGCCAGGACAACTTCCAGATGGGTTTGTCCCCCTTGACCACCAGACACCGTGGTCCCAAGACCTCGAGGTGTCCCCATGGAGGACTCTGATCCTCCCCGTCGGGCCAGGTGGCCCTGAGGTCCCCTCTAGCCGATGGGGAAGGCCCTGGGCTGTCCACGCCTGGGTGTCTGCCTGCTCCTGGGGTGGGTCCCCTCCTTCTTTCCCAGGTGACCCATGTCTGTCTGTCTTCTCCGTTCCAGAGAGAGTAAAGAGCTGGCGGACTTGGCTCGTCTGCACCCCACCAGCTGTGCTCCTAACGGCCTGAACCCCAATCTCATGGTGACGGGGGGCCCGGCGCTGGCAGGCTCGGGGCGCTGGTCGGCTGACCCCGCGGCCCACCTGGCTACCCACCCCTGGCTGCCCCGCTCGGGGAGCACGTCCATGTGGCTCGCAGGACACCCCTATGGTGAGTGGGCAGTTGGGCGTTTGGGGGAAGGACAAAGGAAGTTTGGGGCAGGTGCCAATGCTGGAGGCTGGTGGTCCCCCTGCAGTCAGGGGACACCTCTGTCCACTTCCCCCTGGAGGCCCCCATAGGCTCGGGCAGGGACGCTGGCCAGGTGAGGGGTTGGGCTCGACCCTGGGGTGGGACAGGTATTGGGGGGCCTCCTGGCACTGACGTGGGCCTGGGGTTCTCCTCCTAGGTTTGGGTCCCCCACCTCTGCACCAGGGCATGGCTCCCGCTTTCCCACCCAGCCTGGGGGGCTCCCTGCCGTCGGCTTACCAGTTTGTCAGGGACCCCCAGTCGGGTCAGGTGGTGGTCATCCCCAGTGAGCACCTGCCTCACTTTGGTGAGTGACTCCCGTGTGGCGGGTGGGGGGCTGTGCTGGCCTCCTGGGGGTGGGGGTGACAGCCCAGCAGAATGCGGTGGGGACAGAGGGGACAAAACCCTGGAGTCGTCATTTCTGTGACCTTGTACCCGGACTCCCACAAGGATAAGCCAAGCAGGGAAGCCCAGGGTGGGGGTGGGGTGCTGGGACCCCCATTCTGGTGTCCCCATCCCTCTGGTGACCTACTTTGCAGAGCCACGGTTGTGGCTTTGGTGTGCTTCCGCGGGTTGGTGTGGTCCAGCGTGAGCCTAGGGACATCCCACGTGGGGGACGGGCAGGGCCGAAGTTCCCTAGGCCTGGGGTGTAGTGTTTCTGGTCCCAAAAGTGAACGGGGGCCTCAGTGTCCCCCCCCCCCGTGAGACGAGTGAGTCAGGGAGAGGGTGTGGCGTGGATCGCACGCGTCCGTGCTGCCCACTGTCACCTGTCCCTGCAGCCGAGCTGATGGAGCGAGCTGCGGTGCCCCCGCTCTGGCCGGCCCTGTACTCGCCAGGCCGCAGCCCCCTGCACCACGCGCAGCAGCTGCAGCTGTTCTCACAACAGCACTTCCTGCGCCAGCAAGAGTTCCTGTACCTGCAGCAGCAGGCGGCCCAGGCCCTGGAGCTGCAGCGCAGCGCCCAGCTGGTGGTGAGTGCTGAGGCCGACCTGCAGAGCCTCCATACGGTGGCAGATGGGGGCCGGGAGAGGACCAGAGGGGCACGGAGTCAGGGAGGGCTTCCTGCAGGAGGCGGCATCTGAACAGGGATCGGGGGAATGGCATGTGCAAAGGCCCTGCAGTGGATGGAGCCCAGCAGGGGTGAAGCCAGATATTAGTGAAGACACCAAGGAAGAGGTGGCCTGTGTCCTGGCGATATGTGTGGACTGGACACTAAAGGGGTCTCAGAGGGTCTCTCGCTGTGGGACCCCAGCCTCGCCTTTTCTCCCTCGTGGCCTCTTGGAGCAGGTTAGGGAAGTCTGGCTCACCGCCTGCCTCCTGGTCCTGAGCCCCCCACTGGGACCAGGGTGAGCCCCTTGCTTCCAGGTGACCGCGTCCCATAAGAGGGGCACAGGCTGAGCGCCAGTGGCTCACGCCTGTAATCCCAGCTAGTCAGGAGGCAGAGATGAGAATCACGGTTCAAAGCCAGCCCACGCAAGTAGTTCACGAGACCCTGTCTCCAAAAACACTTCACAGAAAAGGGCTGGCGGAGCGCCTGCCTAGCAACTGTGAGGCCCTGAGTTCAAACCCCAGTGCTGACAAAAAAATAGAAAAAGGAGGCACAAGGGATCCCCCTGTGTGTGGCTGGACTCTCTAAGGCCCCGATCCTGTAGCCATTCTGGGGCATTTGTCCTTTGCTTGGCCTTTGTCCCCTCCTCTGTCAGGCAGTGGCCTCTTTGGTGATGTCAGCTAAGAGCCACCAGCAGTTCCAGGGACTGGAACCCAGGCTGTGCATCCTCAAGCAAATGACATCCCCTCTCTGGTCTTCAAGTTGCCTGTGCAGAAAATGGAGGGTGTGTGGTTGGCAGTGTAGCTCGGTGGTAGAGCGACTTTCGGGGACCTGCGAGGCCCTGCGTTCATTGCCAGCACCGCAAAGTTAAAAAATCGGAAGAGAGGACAGTGATGGCTGGTTGTTAGTCCTGGGAGCGGCTAACGTGTGGTCCCTGGAGGATTTGACTATTTACTTTATTTATTTTTTGGCGGTACTGGGATTTGAACTCAGGGCCTCATACTTCCTAGGCAGGCGCTCTACCACTTGAGCCACTCCTCCAGCCCTTTTTGCTTTGGTTATTTTTCAGATAGGGTCTCGTGCTTTTATGCCCTGCTCAGCTCAGGCTGAGATCCCACATAGCTGGGATGACAGGCATGCAGCAACGTGCCCGGCCTCTTGGTTCAGATAAGGTCTCACAAACTATCTGCCTGGGCTGGCTTTGAACCACGAGACTCTAGATCGCTGCCTCCTGAGTAGCTGGGATTACAGGCGTGAGCCACCAGTGCTTGGCTGAGCACTCACTGTGGTGGAGCCCACTCCCATGCATTTTGTCATCAAACGTGAAAGCCAGCTCCTTTTCTCTCTCTGAGATGTTCAGAGACCCCCCCCCCGGGTGACCCCCCAGGTGACACAGCTAAGCAGGTGGTGAGCACCCTGTGCCGGTAGCTGTCCCAATACTGGCAGGTGCCACAGTGAGGGTGGCCTCTGACTGTGAGGGTCCCCAGCAGCTGGGCTCTGCACCCCCCTGTCCCCTGGTCCTGCTCTCGGGTTCTATGGAACGCCACACTTGTTACACGCGGGCTGGGATGGAATGTCCTTGACCTTGGACCCTTCCTGAGGCTCTCGCAGGCCGGTGGCGGGGGGTGCCCTGGGGACCGGGCAGGTGGGGACGATGACCCTGCGCGCCCGCCCCCTCTCCAGCAGGAGCGACTGAAGGCCCAGGAGCAGCGGGCCGAGATGGAGGAGAAAGTGAGCAAACAGAGTCTGGAGGTCACGGGCAAGGCCGGCCTGACCCCCGCGGGCCCGGGGCTGCTGCCGCGCAAGCCCCCCGGCCTGGCCGCCGGCTCCGCGGGCGCCTATGGCAAGGCCGTGAGCCCCCCGCCGTCTCCCAGGGCGTCCCCCGTGACCTCCCTGAAGGCCAAGGTCATCCAGAAGGTGGGGGAGGTGTCCAAGCCACCTGGCTACACCTACCCTGCCACGCCGACCTCCCACCCCAGCAGCCCCCCGCCCGCGTCCCCGCCCCCCGCCCCCGGCCTCACCCGCAAGGAGGAGCCCCCCGAAAACGTCGTGGAGAAGAAAGACCTGGGACTGGAGAAGGAGGCACCCAGCCCCTTTCAGGCCCTGTTCTCAGGTGGGACCCCAGTCCGTCCCCTCATTGCTGCTTCATGTGTTTTTCTGCCTGTCCTGTTTGGGTTTTTTTTTTTTTGGTGGTACTGGGATTTGAACTCGGGGCTTTGCACTTGCAAAGCAGGCGCTCTACCACTTCAGCCACACCTCCAGTCCATTTTGATGTGATTATTTTGGAGATGGGGTCTCGAGAACTTTTTGCCCTGGCCTGGCCTCAAACCACAGTCCTCCCTATTTTAGCCTCCCAAGTAGTTAGGATTTACAGGCATGAGCTGCTGGCACACGGCTATCCTGGGGTTTTGAACTCGGGGCCTCAGCTGTACCATTTGAACTACACCCCCACCTCTTTTGCCTTAGTTTAGGGTCTTGTGGTTTTGCCTGGGGTTGACCTTGGAGTTTAGTCCTCTTCCCTCTGCCTCCTGAGTAGCTGGGATTACAGGCATGAGTGACCATGCACGGCCTCACTTGCCTGCTGAACTCGTGCAGTCTCCCCCCAGTCCTCTGTGGGGCATAAGCAAAGTGAGACCTGTAAAATTCGCTAAGTTATGCTGGTAGTAATAGCCCAGAGGTGTCCATTCTGGGCAGCAGCTGTGCCTCTCCCCGGCCCCATGTGCTGGGTGCACACACCTGCTCTTGACTGTTCCATGTCACCTGAGACTTGCTGCTGGTGGCCCTGGGGGCTGAGACCTGTGTCCTCCACTCTGGGGAGCTCTTGCTTGGGGGACCCGGTTTGAATGTAGGTTATTGCAGCACCTGTGCTGTGTGAGCTTGGCCAGGTGGCTGCCCTCTCTGGGACGACTGAGAGTTGGTGCTGGTGTGGAGTGCTGGGCCTGTTCCTGGCCTGTCTCTTGTGCTGCCCAACTCTGGGCCAGGCCTTGGGCGACTGCAATCTCTGCACACTGCCCTGCTCCCAGGGAGACTTCGCTCAGACAGTGGGGGGACGGAAACACGTGAATATTAAGGTTTTTTGTTTTTTTTTTTAAATGGTGCTGGGGTTTGAACTCAGGGCCTTGACCTTGCCAGGCAGGTGCTCTACCACTTGAGCCAGGCCCCAGCCCTTTTTGCTTTAGTTTGTTTTTGTGCTTTTCCTACCTCTGCCTCCTGTGTAGCTGGGATTACAGGCATGAGCCACTGGTGCCTGGCCTGCTCAGGACTTCGTGGAAGAGGTTCCAGCCCTAGAGCTGGTCAGGCAGAGGGTGGCTGTGTCCTAGGGCTTGGTCCCGGGTGGTGGGTGAGTGAGTGTTGGTGAGGACACAACCCTGGGGACCCCCAGGCTGACTTCTTGTGTGTCCTTGACAGAAATCCCACCGAGGTACCCGTTCCAAGCCCTGCCACCACACTACGGGAGGTCGTACCCCTTTCTGCTGCAGCCCACCACGGCCGCTGATGCTGATGGCCTGGCCCCCGATGTGCCTCTCCCGGCCGATGGACCTGAGCGCCTGACATTGTCACCCGAAGACAAGCCCATCCGCTTGTCACCTTCCAAGATCCCAGAGCCACTGCGCGAGGGCCTGGAGGACCAGCCTTTGGTCGACCGGGAGGTGAAGGCTGAAGTGGAGGATGAGGATGAGGCTCCTGCTGAGATGCCTCCTGTGGAGTCACCGCTGGCCCTACCTGTCCCGGACACCATGGGGGCCTCCAGCCCTGCGGGTGGCTGTGGAGGTGGCCTGCTGGAGGCCCAGGCGCTGAGTGCCACCGGGCAGGGCTGTGAGGAGCCCCCAGAGGGCCCAGACTTTACAGAGGAGGTCGAAGGACCGGGAGAGTTGCCTGGCCGGACAGAACCCCACACGGCTTCCCTGGAGTTGGGGACAAGGCTGACACCAGAACCCCTGGTGGAGACCAAGGAGGAGCCAGTGGAGGTGCCCTTGGACGTGACCATGGAGGGTCCGGTGGAGGAGGCCGGACCTGAGGAAGACCTGGCCCAGCCAACCCTGCCTGAGCCGCTGCCCGGCCTGGACCCACCCGCCTGTGACCTGCCCAGTGGGGAGGGACAGTGCCCAAGCCTTGAGGCCCAGGAGGCCGCACCTGTGCCAGGCAGTGCCTGTTACCTGGAAGAGACAAACTCTGAGCCGCTCCTGCCTGGCTTGGAAGACCCCCTGGCTGGCATGAATGCCCTGGCGGCGGCAGCCGAGCTACCCCAGGCCAGGCCTTTGCCCTCCCCAGGTGCTGGAGTCCAGGCCATGGAGAAGCTGGACACGACCCAGACTCTGGTCCTGGAACAGAGCTTTCTGCAGGGCATCACCCTGCTGAGCGAGATTGCAGAGCTGGAGCTGGAGAGGAGGAACCAGGACACTGGAGGTGAGCGCCGGCCTTGGGTCCTTGAGTTGCATTTTCAAAAAGTTTAAAAAAATTTTTTTTTGACAGTACTGGGATTTGAACTCAGGGCTTCACACTTGCCAGGTGTGCTTTTCCACTCGAGCCACCACTCCACCATCCCCTCTTTGCTCTTATTTTGGAGATAGGGTCTTGCTGTTTGCCCAAGCCAGTCTGGACTGTGATCTTCCTGTTTGGACTTCCTCATTTAGCAGGCATTACAGGCACATGGCACCATGCACAGATTTTTTCCATTGAGATGAGGTCTCAGGAACTCTTTGCGCAGGCTGGCCTTGAACTATGATCCTCCTGATCTCAGCCTCCTAAGTAGCTAGGATTACAGGTTGTGATCCAGTGGAACACTGGGCCTTACTCATGGGCTGACTGTGGTTGACAGTTTTTGCTGTAGCAAATCCCTTGGCTAGAGAGTTGGACCAGGCTGGTCCTGCTCAGCCTTTGATTAGGGGTGTCACCTCTAGGGTGTAGGGTTAGATGCTCCTGAAGAGAGAACTGGGACCTGGCATTGTGCACGTGCCTTTAATCCCAGCACTCCAGAGGCTGAAGCAGGAGGATGGAGAGTTCCAGGCCACCCTGGGCTGCATAGTGAGACCCTGTCTCAAAATGATGACAACAAAACCCAGAAAACTCTTCAGCATAGAAAACAGGTTCCTGTATGTGCATACATGTATTTACTTCTAAAAATAAGACCTTTTTTTTTTGTTGAGGTATTGGGACTTGAACTCAGGGCCTACACCTGAGCCACCCCACCAGCCTTTTATTCAAGATAGGGTCTCATGAACTATTTGCCCGGGGCTGGCTTTGAACGGCGATCCTCCTGATCTCAGCTTCTTGAATAGCTGGGATTACAGGCATGAGCCACTGGTGCCTGGCTAGATCTGTGGTTTTTAATAAACACTTTTTTTTTTTTTCTTAATAGGGATGTCCAGTTTTCTCCCCAGTGAAGGCCTTTGAGACTCAGCAGTAAACTTAGGTTGTCTGGCATTTTCATCTGCCTTAAAGCTTTTATTTTCCATTGTAGATAACATGACGATTATTATCCTTGTAGAAAAATGTCTGTCTCTGTTCCTGTTTCCCCTCGGGTTGTTTTTCCAGAGGCAGAGGTGCTGGGTCACAGTGAGGTGGCATTTTTTGACTTTTCCACCGCTAAGGCCAGCTGGCCCTCCAGGAAGCCTGGCAAGCAACACCCCCTGCTCACGGCACCTGGGTAGCGTGCTTGCGCAGTCCACTGAGATTTCCTCCTTTAAAGTCGCCTAGTGAGTGGGGCGCGAGGGCGTGTCTGTAATCCCAGCATTCAGAAGACTGAGGCAAGACGACCACAGACTCGAGGCCAGCCGGGGTTACAGTGAGACTGTGTCTCAAAAACAAAATTTATTCAGTGGGATTTTTTTTTTTTTTTTCCCAGAGGACACTTAGGATGGATGCTGCAGTCAGGCAGGCGGCCAGAGCCGCCAGGACCACGGGGGTTGCCTGGTTTGGGGACCACTACCCACTTTTATTCCTTTTGCACTACTGGGGATTGAACCTAGACCCTCACCTCTTGAGCCACACCTCCAGCCCTTTTGCACTAGTTTATCTTTCAGATAGGGCTTTTGGTCAGGCCATCTTTGGACTCTGAGTCTCCCACCTCCACCTCCAGAGTAGCTGGGATTACAGACGTGCACCACCACGCCTGGCTCACCTCAGCCCTCTAGCCTGTGGATCGGCCTGGCCAGCTTGGGTTTCTGTTGCAGAGCCGGCTCCTAACAGTCACCCCTGGCGTCCGGGGCGTCCGGGTTAGCTGAGGTGACTGTTACAGTGTTCCAGAACCGGGCGTCTGGACAAGAGAATTTCTTGTCACGATGAAATTCTGAAGGCCACGAGGTCTGAGGTCAAGGTGTCTTTCTGCCAAGGGCTGTGAGGGAGACGGTGTTCCAGGCTTCTCTCTCCTTAGCTTGTAGACGACTTGTCTTCTGTCTCTTTCCTTGGGTGGCCTTGTCCCCACAGTCCCCTTTCCTGTAATGACACCTGCCACATCGGATTGATTTTGCTTTGGTCACCTCTGGAGAGAACCTGTCTCCAAAGGTCACATTCTCGGGGAGTGCGGGAGTCAGGGTCCATCTTAGTAACTTGGGGACCCACAAGGGCTGGCCTGGACGTCCGTCACTCTGGTTTCCTCAGATGTCTGTCAAGAACCTTAGCAAGGCTGGTTTGTTGGAGACGGTGGTGACACATTCTGGTCACCTCCCGTGACGCACATCAGCTGTTCCCTGCTTTATCAAGGACCTGAAGGGGCTGGGGTGCAGCAGAGGTGTCCGTCCCCTTGGTGGGGACGGAAGACTGCTCCAAGCTGGTACTGGCTCTGGGGAGCTAGTGGATCTCTGTTTCTGTGGCCTCCATTTCCCTACAAATGTGCAAACCCGGTGCTGGTGGCTCATACCTGTAATCCCAGCTACTCAGGAGGCAGAGATCAGGAGGACCCAGGTTCAAAGCCAGCCTGGGCAAATAGTTGGTGAGACCCTCTCTCAAAAAAGGGCTGGTGGAGTGGCTCAAGGTGTAGGCCCTGAGTTCAAACCTCAGCATGGCAAAACAAAACAAAACAAACAAGCAAAAACTATGAATGGACAAGAACAGGACCAGTGACTTTCAAGGAGGCCAGAGTTTGCTCCCTATGGGACAGTGCCAGTGACATAGCTGGCTATCGCAGTTGGGGGAGCTCTACTGACACCTAGTGGACAAAATCGGGAGAGTGCTCAACGGCGCCAATGGTGACCATCCAGCATGGCAGAGAATGGGGCCAGCAGATGTGGGAGTAGGGGTGAGGCTGAGGAGCCATCTAAACTCTGAGACTGCCCTGTCCCTCTTAGGGACCCAGGGACATCAATAGTAAAGAAGAACCTTTTCTCTCAAGCATGTAGGGGTGTTCACAGAAATTGGTCTATTTATTTATTTATTTTTATTTACTTATTTATTGCTGTACTGGAATTTGAACTCAGGGCATTCATCTTGAGCCACTCCACCAGCCCTGTTTTGTGACGGGTTTTTTCGAGATAGGGTCTCACCAGCTGTTTTCCCAGGCTGACTGTGAACCTCGATCCTCCTGACCTCTGCCTCCTGAGTAGCTGGGATTGCAGGTGGGAGCCACCAAATGCCCAGAATGCTTTGGTTATTTTTAATATAGGGTCTAGCTTTTGTGCCTGGGCCGGCCTGGACTGTGATCCTCTTCACTTAAGCTTCCCACATAGCTAGGATGACAGGCATGTGCTAACGCAAACCAGTAATACTTGGTTTTCTTTTTTTTTTGGTATTACTGGGGTTTGAACTCTGGGCTTTGTACTTGCTAGGCAGGTGCTGTACTATTTGAGCCATGCCCCCTGCCCTTGGTCATATTTAAGATAAGGAAAATGTCAATTTAAAAACATAAATGAAGCCAGCGCTGGTGGCTCACAGCTATAATCCCAGCTACCCAGAAGGCAGAGATCAGGAGGATCGAGGTTCACAGTCAGCCTGGGAAAATAGTTGGTGAGACCCTATCTTGAAAAAACCCATCACAAAACAGGGCCGGTGGAGTGGCTCAAGGTGAAGGTCCTGAGTTCAAGCCTCAGTACCACAAAACAAAAACAAACAAAAAACTTAAATGAAGCCCATTTCCATTTGATGAAATTTCCTGGCCTGGGGTTCTGGGTTGGAGTGGCCTGTTAATTTTTCTAACACATGGTCCCAGCTGTGCACTTCTCTGTCCTCTACAAAAAAGAAATGGAAGGAAGATGTTGAGTGTGGTGGTACACATCTATAATCCCAGCATTCAGGAGGCTGAGACAGGGCGATCGTGAGTTTTGGGCCAGCCTGAGCTACACAGAGAGACCCTTTCTCAAAAAAGAAACGTGAAATAGTGGTAAGACTAAAACACAATGGGGTATGGTGGCTCACACCTGTAATCCCAGCTACACAGCAGACAGAGGTAGGAGGATCTTGCTCCTCGGCAAAAAGTGTGAAATCCTATCTGAAAAAGAACTGGAGCAAAGCGGGGCATAGCTCAAGTGGTAGAGCACGTACCTAGCAAGCTCGAAGCCCTGAGTTCAAATCCCAGTACTACCAAAAAAAAAACCAACAAACAAAAAAACATGTCCACACCAATGCGAGACTTGTACCCTCCTGTTGTTAGGTTTAGCCATATAAAATTGCCAGTAATTTAGTTTGGTATGTGATGTGTGTTTTTTAATATTCAAATAGGATGCCTGTGTGTCAAGACCATGTGGACACACACACATTTCTGAAAACATCAGTCCGAAATGCCTCCCAGTGGCCTCTTCAGGGAGGGGCTGTACTGGGGGGAGGAAGGCTTTGGTTTTTGCACTTTTCTGCTTGGCTTTGGGGTTTTCCCTGGGCTCTTTCTCTGACTACGTTAGCCATGTACAGGGAGTGTGCGTCATCAAGGTGGAGGAATACAGACAGGCAGAAGGCGCCCAGATCCTAGAACAGCCACTGTTGGCTGTTGGCGACTCTCTTAAAGTATTTCTGTGATCACACAGCTGTATGCTCTGTGTTCTTGGCCTACTTTCTTGGCACTGTGTCCTCAGTCTTGGGAAGGCCTCAGTCGGGGTGGCTGGAAGTGCTGTGGCCTAGGGCGTGTGCTGGCTCTGAGCCTCAGTCCCCTCCGTGTTTGGGGCAGAGATGCCTGTGGCTGCACCTGCTTTGTGAGCTCTGGGCTGGGGCCCAGGCCCCTGGGCCTCCGTGGCTCACCTGCCTCCCATCTGCAGGTGCAGAGCCGGGCATGGCTGTGCGGCCCTCGCTGGAGAGTCTGCTGGCCGCCAGCAGCCACATGCTACAGGAGGTGCTGGATAGCCCCTTTGTGGACCCCCTCAAGAACTTGCGGCTTCCACGGGAGCTGAACCCCAACAAGAAGTACAGTTGGATGCAGAGGAAAGAGGAGCGGGTGAGCCGAGTCGGCCTGGGGTGGCGGGGTGGAAGTTGGCCTTGGAGTCGGAGTTCTGAGTGGAAGCTCAGCCTTCCACTGCTGAGCTGCTGTGTGGTTCTGGGCAAGTCCTTTCCCTTTCTGGGCCTTGGTTATCCTCTGATACCACATCAGCCTGGGAAGACAGCAGCCTGGGAGCCAGGCCTGCCTCTGCCCTTTGCTGCCTGTTTGAGCTGTGAGCCTCTGGACGTAAATAATAACATACCTTAGCACATCCACTGAGGCCCTGTGACAGGCAAAGCACTGTGTTTCACTCATGTCATCTTAGTGTTGACAGCGCCCCACAAAATCAGTATTAGGTTCCCTAGTGTAGAAAGGAGGCCAAGTTCACAGCTAGTAAAGGGCCGTGATGGAACTTGAGCTGGGGGTCTTTGCAACCCCACAGGCCTGGCTGTCGCCATCTCCATCCTGTGACAGTGACTGGCCACCGGGCAAGGTGGAGGCGAGTGGGCAGGCATCCTCATCCCTTTCCCCCTCCTCCCTGCACCCCTCAGATGTACTCCGTGAAGTCATCGCTGGAGGCCATGGACGCCTTGGAGCTAGACTTTCGGATGCGGCTGGCTGAGGTTCAGCGACAGTACAAAGAGAAGCAGCGAGAGCTGGTGAAGTTGCAGCGCCGTAGGGACTCGGGGTGAGTGTGCCTCCAGCCAGCGCCCTGGGGTGTCCGGCCCCCCATCCAGCCCTGTCCTGCTGGGCAGTCAGGAGGTCGGCTGCGGCAGCCGTCAGGTGTGCGTGGAGCCGAGTGATGCGTGTGCGCCCTCCTCCGCGCCCCGTGCCCACCCCAGGTTCACAGCCAAGCCTGTGATTCTTTTTAAGGGACAGGCACGAGGACCCCCATAGAAGCTTGGCACGCAGAGGCCCTGGCAGGCCACGGAAACGGACCCACACCCCGAGCGCCCTGTCGCCCCCCTGCAAGAGAGGGAAGAACCGCAACAGTAGCGGAAAGTAAGGCTGGCCCCTCGGTGGGTCGGGGTGCCACTGAGCTCGGAGGGAGGAGCAGGGCCCCACGTGGTGCCCGCGTCCCGGTGCCAGGGGACCTCAAGTCCCTGAGGCTCTGACCCCTGGAACGTCAGTTCCCAGGGAACCCATCAAGCTGCCCAGGCCAGGAGGGCGAGCCAGTAGAGCTGGGAACAGGCGAGAGGTCTTGCTGTGACAGCCCGAGCGTGTGCCTCACCTTTCTGCCAGGAGTGCTGTCTCACAGCCAGGGACTCATTCCTGCTCCTTTCCACGGCCTCTCCCTGCCGAGGGACCGCTGAGGTGCCAGCCCTATGGGGACAGGCTGTGACTCGTGCTGTCACTTAGTTCCCTCCGTGCTGGACAAGTCTCTGTCCTGCTGGCTTTTTCTGAGACCAGGCTGTGCTCTGTGATCAGGGCCACTGCTTTTGTGTGCTCTGGAGACAAGCTCCCTCTGGTGGCACAGTAGCAGCTTCACACGGCACCTTTGGAGGTCGTCCAGTCCCTTCAGGGCTGGGGTTCCATTTAGAGGCCTTGGCCTTCTCTGGGTGCCTGTAGATTCTGAGCGAGGCGTGTCAAGGAAACGGGCTAGGATGTGTGTAGCCTGTGACAAAGGGACACAGGCAGCCTTTGGGGCCTTGAAAGGGCAGCAGGACAGCCATGAGTCTTCTCAGGAGAAAAACGTCCCATGGGCCTTATGTCTTGTACTTGGACATTCCTGACTGGAGAGAGGACAAAATGCCTCTGCCAGCCACAGAAGGGTGGGGACAGGGCCCCTGGAGAAGAAGACAAGTAGCTGGGGCCACCAGCATCCCAGGCCTAGTAGTCAGGAATGGGGGTGGAACTTCCTGCTTTGAGCCCCAGCTCCACTCCTTACTGTGGCCCTTGGCCAGGTGTCAGTTTCCCGATCTATAAAAAAGTCACATAGAACGACGTTTTGTGACTGCAATGTTAAGCCCTAACAGTACGAGGCACAGCGTACACACCAGGCAGATTAGCTGCTTGTGTTATTTGTGGGACTTCAGTTAGAAGCGGGCATGGGAAGCCTTTGTCCATGTCCCAAGCTGGAGGCCAGCGCCTGGCTCCTTCCTCAAATTAGCTCCATCTTAATTCCCTCTCCATCCTAGTATCCTTGGCGTTTCTGATCCTTGTTCTTCGCACATTTCAGTAAGGAGGTCTCACCGTTTAAAGATGCGTGTGTGTGTGAGTGGAAAAGCGTGAAAGCAGGGGCCAGTGGAGGGTGCTAACTTGGTTTTTTTCCTCTTCTTTCATATCAAACCCTCATTGTGCTTCATTCACAAATACCCCAGCACTCCGGTACCATAGTTTTACAAGATCTCGTCACTCTGCTATCCGTCCTCGTCTATTCTTCCACATCCAGAGCTCAACCCTTCAGGGCCACAAGGGTGGACCTTCCCCCCAGCCCTCGAGTGTGGCCAGCGAGCTGACCGACAGTGTGTTTGGGTTTCAGGCTGAGCAGCAAGTCTCTGCTGCCCTCAGATGACTATGAGCTGGGAGCAGGGATAAGGAAGAGACACAAGGGGCCCGAGGAGGAACATGACGCCCTCACTGGAGCGGGGAAAGCCAGGGGGAGGAACCAGAGCTGGGAGGAGCGTGAGACCTCGGCTGACTTCGTAAGTCAGGTCACTGACCCACTCTTCCACATGGGCTGTGGTTCTGGGGAGGAGGGCTGGAGGTCACACCTGGGAGTACTCACGTCCCGTGCCACAGGAGTGGTGGCCTTCTTGTATGAAGGGGAGAATGAAGGCCCAGAGAACAGGGCCCTACCGATATGACACAGCCTCAGCAACAGAACCGGAACAAAGAGCTGTATCCATTTATGTGCTTCTCGACCCTTTGCTTAAGCCAAGCAAGGAGTCTGCAGGTTCTGAACCAAATAATGCAGTTTCTCTGCTGTTTAATGGTATAATTGTTTAATGAGCGCCTTGCCATTCTGTACTTCTAAGAAGCGAAGGCTGGCTGCCATCGTAATTTCCTCTGTGAGGTCTCCGGGGTCATGGTGAGAACCAACTTGTTGACTTATTTCTGCAGAATGTTGAAACGGTCCACTTAAAGCCCTGGTCTCTAAATGCACCTTGTCATAAAGTCCTTTGCAAAGTGAGGTTATGTGGTTGATGTGGCTGCTAGGTGGTGGTGGTGGGGACGGGGAATGTTCACACAGGGAGACTGGGTCCAGAAGGAGAGATTGCCACTTTTTGAACATCAGAATTCTTTTTACTCTCAAATTGTGCTGAGGGATGCTTTTGTTGTTTAAATAACATGGTCCCAACTTCTTTCCTCCTTGTGAAATGCTACCTGATTAAAGAAAATACACACAACATGTAGAAGTGCAGGATATTAATGGCTTTGAAACCGCACATTTCACTTCAGCAAATGATTGCAGTTGACGACAGACGTGCAAGCAGGAATTTAATCTGTGAAATCTCTAATCAGTCTTTCAGCTTCAGGCATCCAAGGCACACTCCAGGCATTTTCTTGGCAGCTTTGGCCCATTTTTGTTGGACAGGCTGCTTTAGACTGTGCGGCAGCCTCTGTCAGCTGCTGGAGGTAGTTGAGAGATAAGAAGATCAGCTATGCTCTGATCTTGGTTTTCAATCTTGGTTCTCTTCCTCCTCTCTTAATCCAGCTCCTTTCTCCAGGCCATTGGGCAGCTCTGCTCCCAAAGAGGCACCAGACATGGCTAAGGAAAGCCAGTGCCATCTGTAACTGTAACCACAATAACAGCTAGGGCCAGGCATTTTGATAAGGGCTGATCTTCAGAACAACCCAAACACAAAGACTCCCACTTTAGAATCTAAGGATTGAGGCTGAGTTAAGGAATTTGCCAGAAGTCACAGAGGTGGTGGTGATGGGGGCGGACTGGAGCCCAGTTGTCTTGTTTTTTTGTTCTTTCCCCAAACGTTGTCATCTGTGACCTAACTTCCCTCTTCAGCTGAAGATTAAGAAGAAGAAGATGGCCAGCGACCAGGAGCAGCTGGCGAGCAAACTAGACAAGGCCCTCTCCCTCACAAAGCAGGACAAGTTGAAGTCGCCTTTCAAGTTTTCCGACGGCGCTGGGGGGAAGTCAAAAACTAGCGGGGGCTGTGGCAGGTTCTTGACTCCTTATGAAAGCCTGCTGGGCAAGGACAGGAAAGCGCTGGCCAAAGGCCTCGGCCTGTCCCTGAAGTCCTCCAGAGAAGGTAAACACAAAAGGGCCGCCAAAGCCAGGAAGATGGAGGTGGGCTTCAAGGCCAGAGGCCAGCCCAAGTCGGCCCATTCCCCGTTCGCCTCGGAAGTGAGCAGCTACAGCTACAGTAAGTAGAGGACGCGGCGTCGCCTCCTGGCCTTTCTTGTATTTTTCTCTCTAGGACGCCTCAAGGCCTCTTTGAGCTTTGCATGGTCTGTAGACCGGAAGTGCTCCCGCCTAAAGCGGAAGTGCTCCCGCCTAAAGCGGAAGTGCTCCCGCCTAAAGCGGAAGTGGCCGTGATTGGCGGGTGTTTGGCGGTGAACGTGCCTGTGATTGGTGGGTGCCTGCGACTGGTGGGTGGGAGCGGATGTCCGCCTACTCTCGCATCCGTCTTCCGGTTGTCGTCTCAGTGGAGGTCTTTGCGCCATCGAGTTGGCAGGTTGCTCGGCCTAGAGAGGCTTGGAGTGCGACTGCTTTTGAGAGGGCTAGAGGTGACAGGTTCCTCTGCCCGCAGGAAGCTTGCGGTCGGCTGACCACATGCAGCCGGGTGTTGGGGGAAGATAGTTATGGCGGGAGGACTCGTGTGGCTGCGATCGTCTTGGAAATGCTGAGGATGGGGAGACTGGAGGGGGTGAGGGAGGAGTGCGCGCGTGGGTGGGGAGAGTCCAGCTGGGGTTAAACCTGGCTGTGTGGCCCCCACCCGCCCGTGGGTTGCCCTCTGCCGCGATGGACGTGAACCACCTTGTCTCTGTCCACTGAAGTAGCATGTGTGATTCTCGAACTCTTAAAATGGAGTAGTAGCCTGTGGACCTGAGGGATGGGGTTTCATTTAACTTGAGTAGACATTTGTGGTTTCCCCAAGCCAGGTTGGCTCTCCTTGGCCTGCCAGGTAATTGGTGCTCACTTAGTCTTTGTGGACGGAGCAGCTCTGCCCAGGGCAGGTGGGCACAAAGGATGTGACAGCTGCAGGAAGGCAGGAGGGGCTTGGCCAGGCCAGTCCCTTGTCAGTGTCAGAGTCAATGTCAGCGATATTTATTCTGGGAGTCCCCAGGCCCTGGCAGGGTCAAGTACTTGGGTTGATTGTGTTGAGCTTTTTTTTTTGGGGGGGGGTGGGGTGGGGTGTTGGGATGTTGATTTGAACTCAGGGCTTTGTGCTTGTAAAGCAGAAAGCACTTGAGCCACACCCCCAGTTCCCTTTTGCTCTGGTTATTTTGGTGATAAGCTCTCAGGAACTATTTGCACTAGCTGGTCTGGAACCTTGATCCTCCAGATCTCAGCCTCCCAAGTAGCTGGGATTACAGGTGTGAGTTACTGGTGCCCAACTTGTCCTGGGCTTTGGATGGGCTCTGGTTCCTGGTTGGGGGTAACAATTGGGGGGAAGGGTAATTATCAAGTGCAAGAATGTACACTTGTTATGATAAAGTGTGGTTTTGGTTTTAATTTTGAGACAAGGTCTGGCTGTGTAGCCCAGGCTGACCTGGAGCTTGTTATATAGGCTAGGCTGGCTTTGAACTCGAGATCCTCCTGCCTAAACTTTCCAAGTGCTGGGATTATAGATGTGAACTACCATGCCTAGTTTCAAGTGTGTATTCTTAAGGAAAGAACATAAAAGTGTTGATTTGTTGCTGAAACATCACTGTCTGCCTCCCAAGTCACTGGTGGTAGCAAAGAGCCCGACCAGCTTACCCATCGCAGGATTAAGCTGTTTTGTTTTAGGGGTGTGTGTTTTTGTTTGTTCTTGACCAGTAGCTCTCTAGGACTGAAGCTTTAGTGTGTGTGAGGCAAACAGCTTGTTTGGGCCTGGGACATGTGATATTGTCATAACTCGAGTGTCCTTCACGTCTCGGTGGGTGTGACCAGGCAGTGATGCCCAAGTCCTTGGCTGTGTGGGCACAGGGAGAGAGGGAGAATGACAGACGCGTAGGAAGTGTAAGACAGATGAATGTACTTCTGCTTTTCCAGTCTGGGTTGTAGGGTGCGTGGTGGGTTTTCATGGGAAACCAAGTCACTTGTCACCTGTTGGTATCCCTGGCCTGGAATGTGGCCTTGGTCACTTGTCACCTGTTGGTATCTCTGGCCTGGAATGTGGACTTGGAGAGAACTATGGTTATGTCAAAGGCTGGCCGGTTGGTTGAACCTGGCAACTGTAGGTTTGCCAGGCCGGCCTGAAGTTGGAGTCTGGGTTGAAGTGGAATGTGGAGGAGTTCGTGAAGCAGCCAGGGACACCCTGTTCCCCTGCACGTGTGTGATTTCTCATGGACTGGTTGATGGCAGGTGTTGCCAGAGCTGTAGCTGAGTGCATTAATGTCCCTCTGTTTGGCATGGATTTTTACCACATCAGGGGATTACAGGCTTGGTTGTGGTGCCATTTTGCTCAACAGCCCAGTATATAAAGCATATCAAAATGACATATGTCTGGGGAGAAGTGGGAAGGACTGGAGTTGTGTCCCCTTGTCAGGTCCTCTGCTCCATTCCAGAAGGTTTGACAACCCTACACTATAAGAAGCCAGTGGTGGTGTGCTGGTCAGATGGGAAAGAGGGACATGGAGCCCTGGCCATTTTCCCTCCCACCTGGGCCCAGCTTAGGCTGCCATGGTGACGTTTCTGGGTACAGCATCGAGAAGAGATGGCTGTGGTTGATCCTTGTGTGCCATGTCTCTCTCCAAGAGGAGCCACAGGGCTGTGTGCCATCCGTGGGGTGGAAGGCAGTGGTCACCAGGACCCAGGGAAGGTCCTTGCAGGGGGTGTGACGGCAGATGTGACTGAGGTGACTGAAATGGATGATCCTGGAAGGGCCCCTCCTACTAAAGGCTTTGGTCTGGCCCTGGGGCAGGTGACCTGACCTGGGTGATGCCCACACTTGGAGGCCTCCTGGAGCCAGGAAGAGAACTGGAGTGTCTCGAGAGCTCTCCCAGGGTCATTGGGCAGCATTTGGTCCTCTCTTCTGGCACATCCCATGTGTCCTCATGGTGCAATAGAGACCCCAGCCCCTCCTCCCGCGCCCTGTGACTTACTGTGACAAACTACTTTGACTGCAGATACTGACTCCGAGGAAGAGGAAGACTTCCTGAAGCACGAGTGGTCTGCCCAAGGCCCCTCCAGCTCCAAACTGACCTCCTCCCTCCTGTGTGGCATGGTAGCCAAGAACAGCAAGCCAGCCTCAGGCCCCAAGCTGACAAAGAGGGGCCTGGCAGCCCCCCGAACGCTCAAGGCCAAGGCCGACGCCGGCAGGAAGCAGCCTTTCTGCTTGCTGCTCCGAGAGGCCGAGGTCCACTCCTTCAGCGACTCTTCGGAGAACTCCTTTGATCAAGGTTACTAGCTCCAAACACAAAATACCTTCCTTCTTTTAGAGCGAGAGTGAGCGAGAGAGAGAGAGAGAGAGAGAGAGAGGGAGAGAGAACGCGAGCGCGCGAGAGAGCGCGAGCAGGGGAGAGAGTGAGCGAGAGAGAGAGAGAGAGAGAGAGAGAGAGAGAGAGAGAGAGGAGAGCGAGTGCGCTGGAGTGTGCACACAGCAGAGATGGTTGCAGAAGGCAGCCGTCTTGGTCCTTGGCAGCGTAGCCTGCCCACTTATTTGTCCTGTACCAGCGTGGTCACAAACCTGGCTGGGTCTTTTGGAGCCAGCCTTACACGGACTGTTCATTTTTTTATTATTATTTTATTTTATTTTGGTGTCCATTTTTTCTCCCCCTCCTCCTCCCTCTGCGCCCCCTCCCTGCCTCAAGGCCCCATTGCCTCCCAGGTGACCACAGGCCAGGCCATACCTGGGGCTGGCTCACTCTTGGCATGGGCCCTGGTGGAGCATTTTTTTTTTTTTTTTTTTTTTTTTTGTAAATGAACTTCTGTTGGTTGTGTGGGCGTGTGACTTGATGTTTGTATCGCGATTTTTGGTAATACCAAGCTTTATTAAACATACTGAGTTCATTTTTAACTAAACCGTGTGCCTTGTCTCTCTTGCTGTGTCCTTACTAGACGTTAGGTTGGTGCTTCTTCCATTTGTCGGTCCTCCCGCTCCTCCTCCGCTCCTCCTCCCCTCCCCCCCAGAGGGAGTAGACGTGGGGTGGACACGCTCCCTATTATTCAAATATCCCTGGCAGCTGTGGTGGTCATTCCATTATCAGGTGCACAGTCAGCCGTTCTCACCTCCAGCATCATCCTTTTTTGGTTTTTGGTTTTTTTTATTTGTAAAGCTGCTTGTTTGTGTCTTCTTTTCTTTTTTTTTTTTAAAGCTCTGCCTGTTGCTACCAGTGGTTTAAAAAAAAAAAAATTTACCTATCAACACCTGACTTCTAACACATAATATTTCTGTTTGGAAGGGCATGTAGGGATCAGCTCGGGGTGAAGGCCATTTGCCTTCCCTGATTTTTTGGCTATTGGATTTGAGCGTGGTGACTTTGCCACCACATACAGGACAGTGATTTTGAGTGTCCGAGTGTCCAGACCTGCAGGTCCTGGGCCTGGGTTAGACTTGGCTTAGCCAGGGGTCCTTTTAAAAAAAGAAAGGCCCCAAGTTCTCCAGTGTCAGCCTTGTGACTCTGGAATTACAAATATTAGAATCCTTCATTTCAGGCCCTTCAACCAGAAATGTCCCAAGAAGGGAAGCAAGTTGAGAATGTTGTGAATTTCAAGGGTTTGCTTTAGGGTGCATTCCCTTTAGGGCCAGGATGTGGGGATCCCCAGAGCCCTTGGTAGCAACCCGGATGTCACCTCCTCCAGGAAGGCCTGCAGGGGTGAGTCATAGCAAATCCAGACATGACCTGGGACCAGAATGCTGCTCCCACCTTCCAACCTTGTTTAGTTCCTGGGTGACTCTCTCCCCTCTCTCCCCTCCCTCCAAATTGGCAGAGATGACTATTGGGTGACCAAGAGATGGCACACAGGGAGCCTGGCACCCTGAGCCGTGGCCACAACTGAGCCAACGCAAGCTGGGGCATGAAGAGAGACCACCAACCCACCTGCCAGTGTCCTGTCTCAGGCCTCCCACCCGGGCCTCCTGTGGATGAGTGACTGACTCTCCAATTCCTTCTTCCTGACCTGGGCTGGACCCTGGCCTCTTCACACCCCTTCCTCATTCCAGTCCCTTCCCCACACACCCTTAAAAGCAGGTTCACATTTTTAAGTATTCCCCAACTCAGACCCCACAGAGAAGCAGGCAGCCCCTAGACTACTCTCAGAAAGGAGCCCAGGATGGCTGGGTACGGTAGTACCAGCAGACAGAGTCCAGATAGGGGAGGAATAAAGGGGTGAGGGGAGGGGGTCTCAGCTCCCCAGCTTGCCCCCTGCACATGAAGCAGACCATTGGTGAGGTCTCAGAGGGATATTTGGGTAATAGGGCTTTCCTGCCCGCCCCTGGTACTAAAACACCTTAATTGGCCTGGCTTTTCTAGTTTGCTTTCTCCTTTAGCAGCTTGACCATACCTTCACCCTTGACCCTTACCCATGATGCTTTGAGTGTCTGTTTCGGTCTCTTGCATTTACTCTCACGCTGCACTCGGACGCAAAGTGAAGGCTGGGAGTAGGGCAGACGGCACAGCGGGTCACTGATTTTGAGTCGAGCCTGGCTCGTTGCTCCGTAGGTAGGCAAAACCCTTTTCTTTTCTGTCCTCTTTCCCTCTCCTCCTTGGGCTTTGCCCCCTCCGGGTCTGGCAGTAGTAGTTTGCTTTGGCCTGTGTCATCAGGGTTTTGGGATAAACCAAACCAGACAATAGTCAATCAACAACCTTGTCCTGAGTCAAGATTTTTTTTTTTTTAATATAAAAGTTTTTCTGCATTTCTTTGGGTATCTTTATTGGGACTTTTCTCCCCCTCTGCCCTTGGCAGGCTCTGTGGACTCAGGTGTAGGCAACTTCAGAAAAGCCATCTTGGCTGTTCTGTCCCCATTCTCCCTGCCCTTTCGGATCCTGGCCCGAGCAGACCAGCTGTCCCGAGAGAGAGGCAACCAGTGAGGTTCTTTAAACGTGCTCAGGCGGGGAGGATGGCAGGAGGTCACAGGATAATCCACATCTCTCCTGCAGAAAATGCCCTTCTTGGGCTTCTGCCTCTCGAATGTTCTTCCATGTCAGGGTGCTGACGGCTTTCTGGGGTCAGATGTGACCACTGTGGCTCTCAGAAACCCTGAGCAGCCCTCCTGCCTCTCTGCCGAGGCTGCTGGCTCTTAAGAGTTCTTCCAGAAGGTTCAGACATGGGTGTTATGTCCACATCTGAGCAGCCAGGGTAGGGGGACTTTTAGAAGGAGAAATTCCCAGCCTCCATCCCAGCCAGCCGCCCTCCTACCTTGCCCAAATTGGCCAACCCCAGGGAGGCCTGATGTGGGAGACCCAGGCGCTGTCGAAAGTCTGCCTACACTTAGCCTGCTTTGCCGCTGTGGTTCACTGGGGCAGACAACCATGTGACGTCGTATCGCAAGTGTGCACTGCCTGCTGCTCCTGCCTGCCCCGCCGGCCTCCCCAGCCTGCTTCATCCATCGCTCTGGGAACGCCTCCCACCTCGCACCCCTCTTAACCAACCTCCCTGTCCCCCCCACCCCCACCCCCACCCCAGCCCCAGCTCCACAGCTCCTCCCACCTCCCCTCCCAGGCTGACCCAGAAGAAATCTGGGTTCTCACCCATAAATGAGGCAAGCCCTGGGCTGCCACTTTGAGCCACTCCTAGTTACACTGAACTGAGCGGTGGCTGGGGGTTTGGCAGGAGAACGTGAACTTGGCCACTGCTCTTCCCTCATCCACCATCTCCCCTCCAGCTCAGAGTGTGTGCATTCTGCCACTTTTTGCTGGACAGTCACCTTCCTGCCCTACCTGCCCTGCCCTGCCCTTAGCCAGAGTCCCCATTGCTCTGACTTTGGAGAGGCACTTACCCCCTTGAGCTTGTTGACTGTGGCAGGTGAGCTCTCCGTTCCTCCCATCCCTTTCCTCAGAATTCAGCTGGGAAATTCAGAAGCGAGTTAGCACCTCAAGACAGTCTCTTGTCTGTAATCCCAGGACTGGAATGTGGAAGCAGCTTGGGTGACATGGCTCGTGTGCAGAAAGCAGTGTCAGCCCAGCTGGCCCGTTCTTACTCACCCGCAGAATTCGGGCTGGGCCTCTTCAGCCTGAGTGCTTCGCCCAAGGAGCCTGGCACCCCCGATGCGGGCTGGGCCAGCTCACCTGCCCCCAGGGCTGCCCGTGAGCCAGAGCCGTAGGCAGTTTGTAGTTCCCGGTAGCATGGATGCCGTAATTCTTTTGCAGGTCATGGGGTGGCCCTGTTTTCTTTTCTTTTCTTTTTTTTTTTTTTTTTTGTAGCCCTGGGGTTTGAACTCAGGGCCTCACACTTGCCAGACAGGTGCTCTACCACTTGAGCCATCCGCCAGCCCTTTATTGTGTTGGATCTTTTGAGATAGGTCTCAAAACTATTTGAACTATTTGCCCAGGGCTGGCTTTGAACCTCGATCCTCCTGATCTCTGCCTCCTGAGTAGCTAGGATTACAGGTGTGAGCCACCAGCGCCCGGCTGGTCCTGTTTCTTTTTCATCCCCTTTAAGGCTGCAAACACATCTCTTACTGAATAGACCCTGTACGGACTCTTCCCTTTGCTGGGTCGGAGGGTCATGCCATGCCACGGCTGAGCAAATGAAGGCTCAGAGAGGGTGTCAACTTGCCCCAGGCTCTCCAGCATGGGGGCCTTACTGACAGTCAACTTTGAACTCCTGAGCCCTGCTCAGGGCTGGAGAACTGTGGGGTTACCCTATCCTGGGAAGTCACCAGACTTCACCTTCTCCTGCCGCCAACCCCCAGGCCTCTAGCTGGTGAGACTGCCACAGGCCCCTGGCCTGGATGCCCCCAGCCCCCAGCCCCCAGCCTGAGCACCAACCTCCCCTCTCTTCCTCTTCCTTTTCCTCCTCTCCTCTCCTGCCTCTTTCCTCAGCCTCCATGTCTGTGTCGGGCGTGTGTGTGTGTGTGTGTGTGTGTGTGTGTGTGTGTGTGTGTGTGAGAGAGAGAGAGAGAGAGAGAGAGAGAGAGAGAGAGACCGTGGTGAGCGCTGTCTCCTGTCCTTGTCTGTGTCTGTCCCCTGCCCACAGCACAGGTGCATGTTGGGGCTCCCTTCCCAGAAGCCCACTCTGACACCCAGAGCCACTGCCCCGCTCTGGGCTGTCCTGGATGCCCAAGTGCTGGGCTCCAGTCGATAGAGGCCTTGGGCCACAGGTGGGATTGTGGGTTGATTCTGGATTCTTCCCCAGCAGCCCATTATGAGGACAGAGGGCGAGGCTGGAACTGAGTGGCCGTGCCAGCTTAGGGAGGGGATGGGGGTAGGGTGGTGGCGGAGGGGTGGGGGGGGCTGGTGTACACCCAGGCCGGGGCCCTGACTTGCTCTCTGCTTTCTGCACATCAGATGAGAGCTCAGAAGAGGAGGACGAGGAGGAGGAACAGGAGGAGGAGGAGGAGGAGGAGGAAGACAAGGCTGGCGGCAGCTATAGGCTGGTTGCCCGGGAGCGGGCACTGTCACCAGGCCTAGAGGAGAGTGGGCTTGGCCTTCTGGCTCGCTTTGCAGCCAGTGCCCTCCCCAGCCCACAGTGGGGCCATCCCTGTCGTGGTGCAGTTGGAGGCCAAACAGAAGGCCCGGAAGAAGGATGCGGCAGCCTGATAGGTGAGTGTGCGTGGGTGCTGCTGGGAGGTGGTGCCATGGGCCCATCCCACAGATGAGAAAACTGAGGCTTAGAGCATGTATAGGCAGGCAGAGCTGTAGAGTTCCTGTCTGTGGGCCAGGCCTGCCCTGAGCACACAGTCCTGGCTACAGTGCTGATGATTGGGGGGGGGTCTGCTGTTCCCTAGCAGGGTCATTCTCTGCAAACTTGGCCCTCTGCTGGGCACCCTGAGGGCAGTGGGACTCCGAGATGCAGCCTTGGGGACCAGAGATGCAGGGCGGGCTGAGAAAAGTGTGGGAGAAGGGTGGCTGGCACAGAGGAGGAGGAAGGGAAAGTCAGCTCTGTCTGGGGCATTGGAGGGGTGCAGTTGGGGAGCCCCCCAGGACAGAGAGTAGTAGCATGGCGCTTGGACGGACAACCCGTGGGATGGCAGGTGCAGGGTCACCCTCCCACCTGCCTGCTGGGCTCACTGAGGCCTTGGACACTAACCCTGGGACAGAAGACTCTGGCTCATGCTGGCCTCTCTTCCTTTCCAATTGGGTTTGATCAGATCTGTGCACCAAGGACCTTTGACCTTGCTGTCCTTCTGTGTCCGTTTTCTTGCCATAAGAGTAGGCATGTGACCCTCCTAGCAGAGGCTGGACCCTGCTGGTCCCCATAGGCCTCCTGCAGCTGCCCCCTCCCCCTGTTCAGGGACCAAAAGCCCCAAATCCAGCTGGCGCCATCTCCTGGGGCTCCATTCCCAGCATTCAGGCCTGACCCCAGGACCCCGTCCTGTTCCCTCTGCCCCACCGTTGATTAATCCTGGGCTGCAGATCCACATTTCTCGCAGCTGCAGTCTTTCCCTCAAAACTAAGGCCTGGCCGGACCACGTCTCTGCTCAGAATTGCGTTCACATTACCTTTTTCTCCGCGCCTCCTCCAACATCCTGTACACAGCCCCCCACCATAACCCCTACAATCCCAGGAGGCATCCTGATTCCTCCAGGCTTCTATACTTGCTATTCCTGCAGCCTCAGGCGGCCCGGCCTGCAGACCACCAGACGGCCTCCCGCTTAGGCCGTTTTGCTTTTAACGTCTGTAGGGTCTGTAGCCATGTCTCCTTTTCATTGCTGTTAAGGTAATTTGTGTTTTCTGTCTGTCAGTCTGGCTAGAGTCTCCTGCTTCATTCATTCTGCTCTTTGTTATTTCCTTCCTTCTTTTTCCTTGGCTTGTAATTTGCACCAACTTCCCATTCTGTAAGATAGACGATTGCTCTTCTCCAGTAAAGACATCAGAAGCTGTAAATCTCTCTCTAAACACGGCTTTAATTACATCTCCGGCATCTTGATATATTTCCATATTTTCAAATAGGTATTTTCTACTTTCCTATAACTAGGCAAAATGATTGTTTAGAAAGGTTTTATTTATTTTATAATTATTCTAGGGAAGCTGCCTGGTTATCTTGTTAGTATTTTTTTTTTTTGATGGGGACTAGGATTTGAACTCAGGGCCTTGCACTTGCAAAGCAGGTACTCTATCCTTTGAGCCACACCTCCAGCCTTTTTTTGTGATGGGGTTTTTTGAGATAGGTTCTCACAAACTATTTGCCCAGGATGGCCTTGAACTGCGATCCTCCTGATCTCTGTGTCCTGAGTAGCTGGAATTACAGGTGTGAGCCACCAGTGCCCAAGTGACCTCCATTTCTGATGGAAAGTGTGCCACTACTCAGATGGTTTTTCTGTAAGCCATAGGCCATGCGTTAGTCAGCATTGTACTACTGTACACCTTGACCTCATTCTCTGAATTGATGTACTCGAACTCCATGCCTGGACGTGGGAGAAGGTAGGGGGAGCTTGTGGACAGGGGCTGGAGACCCCCTCTTCTCAGCCACAAACCCCAGTGGCTGCCAGCAGGAAGCTGTCTCACATACCTGAGACAATCAAGTTAAAAAGAGGAAAGGTTCATTTTAATCACAGTTCTGCAGGTTTCAGTCCGTGTTGCTTTGGGCCTGTGACTGCACAGTCCATCATGGTGGGAGCACTATGAGGGAGGGAGGAAGAGGGCGTTCCCCAGCCCCCTTCAAGGCCATGCCCCCAACGACCTCACTTCCTCCCACTAGGCCCCACCCCCTAGGGGTTTTCCACCACCTCCCCATTGTGCAGGGCCAGGGACCAAGCCTTCACATGTGGGTCCATTGAGAACATTCAGGTCAACTTTCTCTTGCTTCCTAGGGTGTCTTCACTGTGGCTCTCAAGGGTGACTGCCATGTACCCTGGTGTGGCCCTTCTTTGTGTCGATTCTGTTCAGTGATCATCTGACATCTTTTTTTGTTGTTGTTTGACAGTACTGGGATTTGAACTCAGGGCCTCCCACTTACCAGCCAGGCACTCTTATCATTTATGCCATGCTTCCAGCCCTATTTGGTGTTTTGTGAGGCAGGGTCTTGCTCTGTAGCCCAGGCTGGCCTTGAACTTGCAATCCTCCTGCCTCAGCCTCCCAAGGGATGGGAATACAGGTCTGTACCACCACGCTTGGCTTTTTTCTACTGTCTGAGGCCAGAGGACCCCTTTCTTTTCCATGTGGGCCCCACACTGCCTATGGTATATGCCAAGAAAAGTGCCTAGAAGCAGGATAGGAGGGGCAGGGATGAGGTCTCACCCCTCTAGCTCCATGTTCCCCTTCGAAGCAAGATTTCCTGACCCCAGGGATGCCCTGGGGTGTTGAGTGGGGTTGTCACAGTGGGGCTCATCAAGTTGAGATTGGAGGGAAACAGCGCTTAGGGTGAGAAGCCTGGAGGTCAGGAGGTGTGGATGAGAGCGGCTCTGCAGATGGAGGTCCTGTGTCCCTGTAGCCACAGAGTTGGGGCCCAAGATGCAGGGCAGAGGGAAGCAGGTCTCTTGGCTGAGCAGGGGCTGTGGAATGGATCTTGCTGGGGGAAGAGGGCTGGGCCTTGTGCTGTGGTCCCCTAAGAAGGGAGGCCCGAGAGGTGAGGGACCCCCTCTTAGCGCTGAGGGGTCTGGGACTTTCCTGTGGGCTTCCCCGCCTGCCTCCCCAGGGCCACCTCCCTCCCAGCACACCTGACTGGCGTCTGGGGTTTCCAGGAACCACATGGGAGGTGCTGAGGGGTGAGGGCCTGGGAGGAGGTGGGGGTGGGGGTGGGGGTGGGGACTGGGCACGACTTTGGCCTTCTCTGGGCTTCAGTTTTGTTTGGTGGTAGCAGGACAAAAACTCCCCCAGGGGAATGGGTCTATGTATGGACTTCCTGCTGGCAGCCATTGGGGTTTGTGGCTGAGAAGAGGGGGCCTCCAGCACCCTGTCCACAAGCTCCCCCTACCTCCTCCCACATCCAGGCACGGAGTTCGAGTACACCGATTCGGAGAGTGAGGTCAAGGTGTGCAAACAGTCGCCCGCTGGGCTCCTGCGGCCCAAGAAGGGACTTGGGGAGCCGGGCCCCTCCCTGGCCGTACCCACACCTGGCACCCGGGGCCCAGGCCCCACCAGCCCGGACAAAACCAAGCTGGCTGTGGAAAAGGGACGCAAGGCCCGGAAACTGCGGGGCCCCAAGGAACCGGGCTTCGAGGCAGGGCCCGAGGCCAGTGACGATGACCTGTGGACTCGACGTCGCAGCGAGCGTATCTTCCTCCACGATGCCACAGCTGTGGTCCCTGCCCCCAGCAGCACCGCACCGGCCCCCAAGCCCAGCCGCTGCGGCAAAGGCGGTGCCCCCAGCCCACGCAAGGACACCGGTCGTGCCAAGGACAGGAAGGACCCCAGGAAGGTAGGGACTCTGCACGGGTGTGGGACCATGGGGAGGGTCCAGCCTTGAGAAGTGACTTTCACATTATCTGGGTGCCACCTAGCACTGAACACTCAGTGTCATCAGGAGTTTTGTCACCTCTTCCTTTTGGAGGTTACTTGTCTCCATCTCAGAATAATATTTCAAAATGTGAATAAATGCCTGGGACCCTGTGTTAGTCAGCTTCTTGTTACTATGACAAAATACCTGAGATAATTAACTTATAAAGAAAAAAGGTTGTCAACCATGTTGGTGCACACTGTAATCGCAGCACTAGGAATCTGAGACAGGAGGATCCTGGTTCACGGGCAGCCTGGCTACAGAGTGAGACCCTGTCTCATTAAAAAAAAAAAAAGATTGGGGTCGCAAAATTGCCCTCACAGTGATCTGAGACTCTCCGTTAGGCCCCACCTCCTAAAGATGTTTGCACCACCCCAGGGACCAGCCTCCAAGGTGCCTGGGAGCCATTCGTCCTAACCATGACAGGTCCAGGGGACAACAGTGACATAAAAATGTAGCTTTGCAAATATCCAGAAACCCCGCATGTGCCCAGTGGCCTCCTGCTGGGGCGCAGTCAGCTCCAGTAAGGACTCTCAAGGTCCTTGCAGACTGCTGCGTGCTGGGGACCCCGCGGTGGTTCCTGTTGGTGGCAGTGTCACCAGCAGGTGTTGACACTGTTGTGGTTTGTGGCTTCCGCTCTTACCTGAAGGAAAACCTGATTTCTTCCTAATCAAAAATGTGAAACTAGAGGTGGGTTCTTTTGGTGTTTTTGGTGGTGCCATGGATGGAGCCCAGGGCCTCAGGCATGCGTGCCAGGCTTGTGTTGTACCCCTGAGCAACACCCCAATCCCTGCATGTCCCTTGTAACCAGCATAAGGCCATGGACCCCCTCCTCCCGGGCCCCCCCCCCCCCCCCGTTCCATCCACACCATTGCTCGTCTCACAGCAGCTACACAGCACAAATGGAGTCACCTCTGTGTGCAGCACCTGTGTGGGGAGAAAAGTTTCAGAGCAGGAGTTTTTTGTTTGTTTTGACTTTTCAAGATAAGCTGTTGCTTTTGCACAGCCCAGGCTGGCCTTGAACTCTTGATCCTCCTGACTCAGCCTCGCAAGTGCTGGGATTATAGGCATGCCCCATCATACCAGGCTCAAAGCAGGATTTTTGGTGAATTCCCATCCGTGTTTTTAAAAACAACAAAACGTAGCTGAGCACAGAGGCCTACGCCTGCAATCCCAGCTACGTAGGGAGCATAAGTAGGAGGATCCCTGTCCAGGCTGGCCCTGGGCAAAAAAGCGAGACCCTATCTTTAGGTATCTGAAAAATACCTAAAGCAAAAGGGCTGGGAATGTGGCTCAAGCCATAGAGAGCTGCCTAGCAAGTTCAAGTCTCTGAGTTCAAATCCCGGTACCACCACCACCACCACCACCACCAAAATGAAAGTGCATGTCCTGATTGTGTCTGTGTAGCCTTTTTGTTTACGTGACTGTGCTATGGAAGGTTCTGGAAGGACACACCACACAGGAGACCTGTTGGAGAAGAGCACACACGCATGTACACTTCAGCATTGCCTCTTTGGCTCCCCTCTGGAGTGGGTTCTCAGGGCCACAGGGCCTGAGGGGCTGAGTGGCAGGGGGGGCGGCCTGCGTCCTCTGTGTCCTCTGAAGGCCCCACTTGCTGCTTCCTCCTGCAGAAGAAGAAGGGGAAGGAGGCCGGCTTAGCAACCTCGCTGCCATCACCCCGGGTTCCCGCGCTTCCCCCCGAGGCCAGGGCCCCTCATGCCGGACCCCTGGCGCCTGCCAAGAGAAGCAAGGCCAAGGCCAAAGGGAAGGAGGCGAAGAAGGAGGTGAGGCTCAAAGTGGGTGTGTGAGGAGGGACTGGGTTAAAATCCTCTCCCCAGGTACAGAGGTGCTGCACCCCGAGTCTGCCCTGCCCCATGTCTGCCTGAGGCCAGCGTGGGCATCACAGACCCGAGGGTCTGCCATGTGCCGCTGTGTTTACCCCCAAGGCTGAGAGAGGAGGAGTGACCGCCGACAGTCCTTGTGCCCTGCCCACCTTAGCAGGACCAAAGACCCTAAACTCTACCATAAGACCTCCGGACCACAGGAGCACAGGAGCAGCCCCTTGGGGTCCCCTGGGTTAAGTCCACTCGGCAGAGGAGGACATGCCAGCTGTGCTGCCACCCCCACACTAGGCCATGTTCCTTCAAATCTGTTGTGCATGGCTGGAAAGCCGTGTGCAGTGACAGGGCCAGCACTGGCCACCGAGTCATCCATCAAATCCATGCAGGCCTTCCTTAGCCACTGTGCACACAGCAGGTACCACTGTGGCCTGACTGTGGCCCTGGTTTTCTGGAAGGTTCCCCAGCATGGCAGAACCCCCCATGCCATTTCCTAAGCCACTGGTCTGTTCTGCTCTGTGCCCAGAACCGGGGGAAAGGAGGGGCCGTGAGCAAATTGATGGAGTGCATGGCTGCTGAGGAGGACTTTGAACCCAACCAGGACTCAAGCTTCTCAGAGGACGAGCATCTGCCGCGTGGAGGGGCTGTGGAGCGGCCTCTGACCCCAGGTGAGTGGTCATAAGGCTGTGTGTGTGTTGGGAGGAGCTGCAGGCCTGAGATTTGGGCAGGGAGGAGCATGTGCAAAGGTCCTGAGGCAGGAGCTTAGCACCTGAGGCAACTGAGTAAGCTGGAGGTTGGGGGTGGGGATGGGGCAAGAGAGCAGCTTTGGGCCTGGGAGGAGTTAAAGGCAGTCACCATCGTCCCCTGGGCCTCAGCACAGAGCCTGGTTTCTATCCCAATGACATGAACAGCTGTGCCACGCCATAACTGGGGAGCATTGTGGTCAGATGGTGTTGAAATGAGCACCTGACTGCTGCACAGAGGCCTTGCAGGCCCCCAGGGAGGCAGGGTGCCCAGGCTGCCCCCATCCGGACACAGCAGGCTGGGGGCCAGGGTCAGCACAGCAGCAGCAGGGAGAGAAATGGGGTGGGGGCTGGCTGGGCACGGTAGGAGAGAGGGTGGACAGGACGTGGGGACGGACAGGACATACAGATGAGCAAGGAGACAGGAACAGAGGAGGACCAACTTTGGGAGTCCCAAGAGCAGGGTCCCAGGGTCGGGAACCACGCACGGGGCTTGGATGAATACAGTGTGGGGTGACCGTCACACCCAGCAGGCAGTGGGACCCAGGGCTCCGAAGGAAGAGGGATGGCAGATAGGAATGGGAAGAGGCTGGGCCGGCCCTAGAGAAAGGGGGCCCAGGTGGCCATGTGGCCTCTGTGGGCTTGCTCCCACGAGATGGGGTGGCGAGGGATCCAGGCCATGACTCTCGGCTCAATATGTCATGCACAGTGCTGGACTGTGGCTTGGCAGGTGCAGTCGCCCCGCGGTGTTCCTGGAGGCTTAAGTGGGATCCTGGAGGCCTCTCATGGCCTTGCTACACAACTCTCATTTCGCCATGTCTCTCTTGGCAAAAGCAAGTGACACAGCCAAGCCTGATGTCAATGCCTGGGACATCCCCCTCTGCCCACAAGAGGCTGTAGGGGGTGTGGTGCAGGTGGGGATGGAGAGGGGGTTCATTATTCCTGGACCCCAGAACTGTCCAGGTGACAATGGGAGAATGTGTGACCTAGAGGGAAAAACAGGCCAGGTCCTGGAGTGCATCTGAGGAGGGCAGGGCGGGGAGGCTGGGGAGGAGGCTGGAAAGAAGGGGCCACAGGTGGAGGAAAAGTGGATGGAAAGGCCAGAGCTCCAGCCAGGCATGGTCACTCATGCCTGTGATCGCAGCTACCCCAGAGACAGAGATCAGGAAGATCACAATTTCAGGTCAGTCTGGACAAAGAGTTGGTGAGACTCCATCTCAACCAATAGGCTGGGCGTGGTTGTGCACACTTGTCATCCCAGCCACTCAGGAAGCGTAGGTAGGCAGACCATGGTCCAGGCAAAAATTCGAGACCCTATCTGAAAAATAACTAAAGCCAAAAGGTCTGGGGCCGTGGCTCAGGTGGTAGAGCACCTGCCTAGCAAGTGCAAAAAACAGAGAGGGAGAGAGAGTCAGTCCTATAGGTCTGGCCGAGTGGCGGCAGGATGGGAGATGCCCAGAATATGGGGGTGGTGGCTGGATGTTGGGGTGGGGGAGGCTGTGTGTCCCCTGATCCACAGGGGCCACCAGGCAGGGCCTGGGAGAAGGGAGGGTCTCCCTGATGCCCTGCGGCTCGGCTTGGCCTCACTGCCTGTCCACTGCAGCACCCCGGTCCTGTATCATCGACAAGGATGAGCTGAAGGATGGCTTGCGTGTCCTCATCCCCATGGATGACAAGCTGCTGTACGCGGGGCACGTGCAGACCGTCCACTCTCCAGACATGTGAGTGCGGCCCAGAGCCACACCCACTTCTGCCCAGGGCCACTTCGCTGTGCCTCCCTCTGCAGGTCACTTTCCCTCTCTGGGCTGGGGCAGCTCTGGGGACTTGGTGACACAGGTGCACCAGGGTCAGCTCTGCTGGTGAAGGGATTTGGTTGGGCACAGCCAGAGGACCCAGCAGATAGGGGGAGAAAGTGTGTGTTGGCCTCTCTTGGACACTGGAGCCTGGCCCAGAATGCTCTGTGTCCCCTTAGTTTCACAGATGGGGAAACTGAGGCCAGAAGGGAAGAGAATTTGCCGCACATTTGTATAGCAAAGTCAGCAAATCTTACAATGCTAGCAGCCTGGGAGGCAGAGCTGAGAATGCCCAGCTGGCGTCTCTCTGGCCACTGTCACCTCACGCATGTTCTCCTTGGTCTCGCAGATACCGTGTGGTGGTGGAGGGTGAGCGTGGGAACCGGCCCCACATCTACTGCCTGGAGCAGCTGCTGCAGGAGGCGGTGAGCGGGGGTGGGGAGACTGGGCACGTGTGGCAGAGGGTACTCACCCTGACTTGGTCCCTGGTCACCGATTGGCACTCAGTCCCACATTCTCTCAGATCATCGATGTGCGGCCGGCCTCCACTCGCTTCCTGCCCCAAGGGACCAGGATCGCAGCCTATTGGAGCCAGCAGTACCGCTGCCTGTACCCGGGCACCGTGGTGCGAGGTGAGCGTCCTGTTGCCCCCAGAACTCCCGTATCTCTGAGCGAATGCATCAGGATGGATTCATGGGGTCCCTAAAACCAAACTCTAACTGGCTTACCATAAAGACTTTTATGGAATCGCGTAACTGACAACTGTAGGGCCTTTCGGTATGGCTGGATCCAGGTGCTGTTTGAGTGAGGTCAGCCAGGACTCAGGCTCTTGGTATCCTGTTGTTGGAGAATGGCTCATTTTCCAAGTTTCCCCACCTGAGTTGTAGGGTGAACTGATGCTGGCGGGAAGCTGAGGAGTGAGGATGAACGCACATGGACTGTGTATTCATCAGACTTTATTGCCATGACAAAAGACGTGAGCAGCTTAAGGGACCGGGGGCATTTATCTTGGCTCACGGTTTTGGAGGCTTTGACAGCCCTTGGCTGCGTTGATTCTGGGCCTGTGGTGAGGCAGACTGTTACGGCAGTGGGAGCTTGTGGTCTAGGCTGCTCACCTCATGGTGGGCAGGAAGCAGAGGGAAGAGGAAGGGACCTGGAGGTCTCCAGTCCTTGCCCATCTGTGTCTCTCCATTCTGCCTGATTCTTTAGTGACACTTGAGCGGGGTATAGAACAAACGCACAGTGCCAGTGAGACCTACTTCCTGCAGTGAGGCCCCACCCTTTGCATTTTCCATCACCTCCCAAAATGGCACCACCAGCTGGGGACCAAGCCTTCAACTCATGGCAGACATCTCACACTCAAACCTTGACAAGGGCAGATGGTTTTTTCCAGGAAAGCTAGGATTTTGGTAACAGAACAGAGAGAATGGGAGGTTGGCAGAAAAAGTAACAGGTACCCCAGAAGACCAAGTAGGCCTGACACTCAGACCAAAAATGCAGATTCCCAGTGGTCCCCACAGCCATTGTAGAGTCAACATAGCTGACATACTTTGGTTAGACCAAAAAGACAACCAAAAAAAAAACTCCACTATGTGCCAAGAACAGCCCATCTTTTTGGCACCTGGAAATAGGGACTTTGGGCAGTAAAACAGTAGACATCTGCTATAGGCTGAATCATAGGACATTGGACTAGAATGTTGGGTCATCTGTTAGTCACTCAGTTACCATTAAAACCCTGGAAGTCCTGTTAATATGGGAAGAGTTTGTCTAGGATTTCAGTCTCCTGGATCTTTCCATCCTCAAGTACCATGGGGGGTGGGCGGCTTTTCTAGGCCTTCCTCAGGGTGCTTTTTAAGTCCTGCTTACTCCTACCAGCATCCTGAGGCTCCATGATCTTCCTTAGGTAGCATCCTATGTCTTTGTCTTTCTTTGTTTGTCCCTTCATTTTGGTAGACGATGCATCGGTAGCTTTCCGAGAAAGTCCGCAGAACTTGCTCAAGCCCTCCCTGGCTACCTCCTCCTCATTCTCTCTTGTTCCTCAGCCAGTTGAGCTGGGTGTAAAATCTCGGTTGGAAATACTTTCTTGTTACCATTTCACAGTCATCGTTTGAATCTTTTTTGGGGGATGGAATTGGGGTTTGAGCTCCCTACTGCTGGAGCCACACCTCCAGTCCAATTTGCTCTGGTTATTTTGGGGATGGGGGTCTTGAGAACTATTTGCCTGAATGGCCTCAAAGCTTGAGCCTCCTGATCTCAGCCTCCCAAGTAGCTGGGATTACAGCCATCTAAGAACCGTTCGATTCTTATTTAGCTGTCAATACTGTTCAAAAAGTTTAATTCCGTTAGTATTTCCAAGTCTTTGTAGGAGATTTTTTTCTTTCTCTCTGAAATAGTTTATGATTTTCTCTTATCTGTGGAGCTGGAAATCCATGTGCTTTTCTTGCACGTGTGTGTTTTCCTTATGGGATATTTGGGGAAGTTGAGGGCGCTGTGATTTTATAGCAGATTTCTTGAATTCTGTAAGACTTTTTTCTGGTGTGGACCACTTGGAAAATTTCTCTTGCTTATTTCATCTGTCATCCCTAGAACTCACACTAGAGAGGTGGCCCTCAGTGTTTCTACCTTTCTTTCTCTATTTTTTGTCTATTTCTTTATGTTTTTGTTCAGTTTTTCTGGGAGATTTCCTCCACTTTTTTTTTTTCTAAGGAGACATTCTTGCTATGTAGCTCAGGATTGCCTTAAACTCACGATCCTCCCACCTCAGCCTCCCAAGTAGCTGAGATTATGGACGGGTGTGCACCACCACGCCAAGCTTTTCACTTTTACCTTCTAACCCCTTCTGATCTTTTGAATATTTAAAATTTACACTAGCATTTAAAAAACTCAGCTGGGCACTGATGGCACATGCCTGTAATCCCAGCTACTCAGGAAGCAGAGATCAGGAGGATCATGGTTCGAAGCCACCCTGGGCAAATAGTTCATGAGACCCTCTCTTGAAAATAAACGAATCACAAAAAAGGGCTGGTGGGGTGGTTCAAGGTGTAGGCCCTGAATTCAAACCCCAGTACCACCAAAAAAAAAAAAAAAAATTCCCAAGACTTCTTTCTCATTTTCTGAGTGTTCCTTTTCAAAACAAAATCTGTTTAATCCATCAACACATTGTCTTTTTTAAAAAGTATCTCTGAGAATGCATTTTTCCATCAGGTATCCTCTGCTCCCTTAGTCTCCTCGTGATGGGGGGTGGGCAGGGGTGTTTTACAGGGGACCCCAAGTACTGGCACGTGTAAGTCTTTCCCTGTGGCTGGTCGGTTTCCCAAGACCCGTGTCCTTGAGGTTGTTAGCACAGCGTGTATGCTGGGAGTGGTGTCCCCTCTTCAGTGTGCAGGTCATCCATTATAGAAGCCTCAACCCCAGCTTGGTGGGGGTCACCCACCTCCTCACCTGTGCCCCAGATCCTTCGGTCCAGAGCCGAGCGACCCTCCAGGGTCGTGACACTCGGTGGCACCCGCTGTTCAGTGTTGGGGTCTCCTGCACTTGCCATGGCAACCTCGTCAGCATCAGCTCTCAGAACGGCAACTGAGGGCAAAATCAGTTCTCTTACAGCACTGGGATTTGAACTCAGGGCTTTCACCTTGAGTCACTCCACCAGCCCTGTTTCGTGTTGGGTTGTTTTGAGATAGGGTCTTGTGAACTATTAGCCCAGGCTCGCTTTGAACCTCGATCCTCTGATCTCTGCCTCCTGAGTAGCTGGGGTTACAGGCGTGAGCCACCACACCCGGCCCTTTCATCCACTTTGATGACGTCTTCTGGATGTGGGCTGTTGCTCCTCTCTCTGTCCTTCAGAGCTGACATCCTATGGTCCCTGTCTTGGTTCTGGGGAGGGTCTCGGGCACGGCACCACCACGCGCAATCAGCTGTGCATAGCACCTGATGTCCAGACACACATTCAGAAATGAGTGAGCTGGCTTTGCGTCCCCGGCCCCTGTGCCTCTGATGACCACATGGGCACCGCATGTGTACACAGTGGTGTCCTCATGGCTGTGTCTTAGTGACCCGGGCTGAGCACAGGCTGGCGCCCTTGGGATCCCCTGACCTGCCCTTCCCCACAGGGCTGCTGGACCTGGAGGATGATGGTGACCTGATCACCGTGGAGTTTGACGATGGAGACACGGGCAGGATTCCCCTCTCCCACATCCGCCTCCTACCACCTGACTACAAGATCCAGTGTGAGTAGTGAGCCTGTGACAGGGACTGGGGTCACTGCTGTCCTGATGGTGAGTGCCACTCCCAGAACAGGCCAGGGAGAGTGGATCTCAGGCCTCCTGTGACCCGTGATGGCAGCCACAGGCCCATCAGTCAAGGCTGTGGGAGGCTGGTCAAGTGTCATTGTCACTAAATTGTTATTATTACAAACTCAGGGCCTTGTGCTTGCCGGGCAGGCGCGCTACCCCTTGAGCCACACCCCCAGCCCTCTTTTTGCTTTAGTTATTTTTCAGGTAGGGTCTTGCATTTTTGCCTGGGGCAGGCCTCAGACCAAGATCCTCCTAACTCCACTGTTCTGGTAGCTGGGATTACAGGCATGCACCACCATGCCTGGCCTTGATCAAGTATTATTATTGAATACCTGGAGATGTAGCTCAGTGGTAAAGCGCTTGCCTGGCGTGCAGGAGGCCCTGGGTTCCATCCCCAGCTCTGCAAAAGAGAACAGGTATTATTGTTGCCTCCAGGCCCCACATGGTGTTGAATTCTTGCCTCGGCCCCATGTGTGCCTGGTGCACCTGTCCCCTCTGACTGACTAGTGACTTAACTAGGGCTCAGAAGTTAATGAGTCATAAGAAACAGAGGCAGGGCTTGACCCCACCGTGCCTGACTGCTGGGGGTTGCTAAATCTGAGGTCTTAAGTGGATTGTCACAGCACCAGGCAGCTTAGTCGGTCACTCGGGCCATTCTGTGCACCCACCGATCTGCAGCATTGGGACCCAGGGTCCCCACTCGCTGTGACAGACACAGACCTGGACGCTTGCAGGCCTGAGCTCTGTCTTCTCCCCCTGCAGGTGCTGAGCCCTCCCCGGCACTCCTTGTGCCCAGCGCCAAACGCCGCAGCCGGAAGACCAGCAAAGACACCGGGGAGGGGAAAGAGGGGACCGTGACGGGGGCCGAGGAGGCGGGGGCCAAGGCGCGGGGGCGTGGGCGGAAACCCAGCGCCCAGGCCAAGGGTGGTAAGTTGGCCCTGTCGGGGTGGGGACCGGGCACTGCAGGAGTCCGAACCTGGGGCTCAGGGGCCGCGCGGGTGACCTGTCCCCATGCCTGTGGGATCTCTGCAGTGCGGGGCAGTGCTGCCCTGTTGACAGGGTAGGGAGCGGGCCCAGGGACGTGAGTGCAGACATCAGAGGCAGAGCTGAGATCCAGCGTAGGTGTATTTCACACCCGAACCCAAATAAAAGAGTTTTGGGCTCCAAGCTGAGGACCTGCTGTGGGGTCAGCACACCTCGGATGATTGGTACACACGAACCACTCATTCTAAGAAGTCTGCCCAGGTTTCATGGGGTGAGGGTTGCTACCAGGGCTTTCTTGTTTTCCTCTTTTGGTAGCACTGGGATTTGAACTCAGGGCCTTGTGCTTGCTAGGCAGGCGCTCTACTACTTGAGCCCCACCCCTGGCCCTTTTTGCTTTTAGTTATTTTTTCAGTTAAGGTCTCACACTTTTACTCTGGACCAGCCTCAGACCATGATCCTATTTACCTCTGCCTCCTGCTTAAATGGGGTTATAGGTGTGTGCCACCACGCCTGGTGTGTCTGTTGAGATGGAGTCTCACTAACTTTGCCCACGCCGGCTTTGAACTGTGATCCTCCTGATCTCTGCCCTGAATAGCTGGAATTACAGGTGTGGGTCACCGTGCCCAACTGCTACCAGAACCCTTAGCCTGTCTCCTGCCAGGGAGCCCCTGCCTTGGCTCGCCCAGGCCTCATTTTTTGTCTTCTCTCTTCTAGACAGAGCTGCTGTCCTGGAGGAGGAGACTGCCACAGATGAGGTCACCAGTACCCCCTTAGTGCTGGAGCCCATCAGTACCCCAGGTTCCAAGAAGAGCCCCTCAGAACCTGCGGACAAGAGGGCCAAAGCCACCAAGACTCGCACGGCCCCCCCGCAGCCCAGCCCTGCACAGCCCGCCTTCACCAGCTGCCCAGCTCCCGAGACCTTTGGGGAGCTGCCGGCCCCTGCCGCACCCCTGGCCCAAGCTCCCCTCGTCACCATGCCTGCCACCCGGCCCAAGCCCAAGAAGGCTCGGGCCACCGAGGAGACAGGCGCCAAAGGCTCCCGGAGGCCAGGCGAGGAGGCCGAGCTACTCGTGAAACTGGACCACGAGGGCGTCACATCCCCCAAAAGCAAGAAGGCCAAACAGGCCCTGCTCCTGCGGGAGGACCCCGGGGCAGGGGGCTGGCAGGATCCCAAGGGCCTGCCAAGCATGGCCAGCTACCCCCCAGCTGCAGGCGGTGGAGACTCCAAGGCAGCCTGGCCCAAGGCCCTGGAGGGGGACCTCGCCCAAGAGCCCGGATCGGGGTTCCCCCTGGAGGATCCTGGGACCCCCAAGAGCCCGGACAAGGCCCAGGCCGAGCAGGACGGGGCCGAGGAGTCAGAGTCCAGCAGCAGCAGCAGCAGCGGCTCTGAGACAGAGGGCGAGGAGGACGGCGAGAAGAATGGGGAGGACGGCCGGGGGGCAGGGGGCAGGAACTGCAGCGCCTCCAGCTCCAGGGCCTCCTCCCCGGCCTCCTCGTCCTCGTCGTCCTCCTCATCCTCTTCATCCTCCTCCTCGTCCTCCTCGTCCTCCTCGTCGTCTTCGTCCTCCTCGTCCTCGTCCTCGTCCTCGTCCTCCTCCTCGTCCTCCTCCTCCTCCTCGTCCTCGTCCTCCTCCTCGTCCTCGTCCTCCTCGTCCTCCTCGTCCTCCTCCACCACAGATGAAGACTCATCCTGCAGCTCAGAGGACGAGACGGCCCCAGCCCCCGCAGCCGGTCCCTCTGCGCAGCCAGCGCTCCCTGCCAAGGTGCCCAAGCCAGCTGGCAAGGTGCGCTCCTCAGGCCACTCCCCGGGCAAGAAGGCGCCCGCTGCCCAGCCACCTGTGCCACCATCCCAGCCGCCGCAGCCTCTGCAGCCCAAGGCCCAGGCCGGGGCCGGGGCCAAGAGTCGACCCAAGAAGAGAGAGGGCGTCCACCTGCCCACCACCAAGGAGCTGGCCAAGCGCCAGCGCCTGCCATCCGTGGAGAACCGGCCCAAGATCGCCGCCTTCCTGCCCGCCCGGCAGCTGTGGAAGTGGTTCGGCAAACCCACCCAGGTAACGGCCGGGCCCCCAGGCGCTGTCCTCTGTCTGTGACCTCCTCAGAGCCGCCAGGACCCCCGGGGCGGACGTGGCCCCGGTGACAGGCTGCACCCTGGGTTTCAGGGCACCCTTGTCCCCTGTGCCAGAGCCTCCGTGTGTGGGACCCGAGGGAGTTTTACATTTCTGTGACCAATACCAGAAGAAAGAACGTAGCTGAGAAAGGATTTCTTCTTATTTTTTTGGAGGGACTGGGGTTTGAACTCAGGGCTTCACACTTGCTAGGCAGGTGCTCTGCCCCTTGAGTCACTCCTCCAGCCTATCTCGCTCTGGTTATTTTGGAGATGGGGTCTCACAAACCATTTGCCAGGCTAATCTTGAATCAAGACCTCCCAACCTCAGCCTCCCAAGTAGCCAGGATTACAGGAAGGATTTATTTTGGCTCAGTTTCAGAGGTGTCATCCATCGTGGTGGGGAGGGTGTGGTGGAGCATAGCACCCCAAGTCATGGCGGCCAGGACGCAGAGGAGAGGGATGTAGAAAGAGGCCAGGGCAAGATACAACCTGCAGTGACACCCCAGGAGCTACCTCCTCCAGCCAGGCCCACCCCCTGCCTTTCAGCAGCGCCAGTACCGCCATGAATCCATCAAGGGATTAACCCATCGACTAGTCAGAGCCCATGATGTAGTCCCTGGAGCCCTCTCAGACGCGCGCGTTGCGAGTGTCCTAGGCGTCCCCTGTGCACACACAGTGCACGACGCACACAGGTGTGCAGCGCACGTTCACGTGCACTTCTCAGTGCAAGCCATTCTGGAAGCTTCCATGTGGAGCACGGGAAGAGCCCTGGTGGTCAGCAGTCCACCCCACACCCCTGGGTGGGAGGAGCAAGTGTTTGGCTGAGTTTTCCATCACTGGAACAAAACACCCGGGGTAATTAGTGTGCAAAGGGAGAAGGTTTGTTTTGGCTCTTGAGTGGAGCTGTTAGGCCTCCGGCAGGGATAGGAAGCAAAAGGGAAAGAGAGGAAGAAGCCTGGGTTCTGCAGTCCCCGTCAGGGCACATCCCCAGTGACCAAAGGACCTCTGGTGACACCCCTCCTACTCTCTCTTGGGACCCTCTGGGCTCAAGGGCATCGCGTCAGCTCCCGGTGCACATCCGTGAGGCTGGAGAGGTGGAGAAACTTCTGAATCACTTCTTGGGGTTCTCGCTCTCCCTGCCCCCCGCCCCGATCCTCATGCATGCTGGGCTTGGGCTCTCGCTGTGCCTGCACGGTCAGTTAGAACCCCCCAAGGTGGCTGCACCCCTGGGGGCTCTTTAGAGCTGGGGTATTCTGACACAGGGGGCTTGTGGCCACTTGAGCCCCAGCTCTGGCTGCCCCAGATCTCCCCACCTGGGGAACCCTAACTTGACCCTGGCTCCCCCCACCCCGTAGCACACAGCAGCCTCTGTGGATAGCCAGCTGCGGGCCGGAAGGGGCTCTCGGCTGCGTCACTTCTTGACAGGCCAGCCCGAGTGCCAGACTCTCATGGAATCTTTCCAGAAGGCTGCGGGGCCAGGCCTGCAAGTGCCCTATTCCAGCAGGTGCTTTAATCTGAGGACCAGGTCAGAGCTCTGAGCCGAGGACAGAGCCGTCCATCGTCACCATCCTTGGCTTTCCCTCATTTTAGCTGTTCGCTGGTTCCAGTTTAATGTCCGTGAGGGCCCTCAGTTCTGTAAAGAAAAGAAACCAAACCACGCTTGGCTTTAGCACAAGGGCAGACTAAATTGGTCTCTTAGCAGAACCGTTCAGGAGTTTCCAGCTTCAGGTTCAGGTGGATCCAGGTGCTCGAAGGCTGTCTTCAGAGCCATGCTCAGTCTTTGGCTTCTTTCGGCTTCCTTGTGCTGCTCTTGTCTGGGCAGCAGGAAGGTCCAGTGGCTTTCTGCTCACGGGACAGAAGGAAAGAAATTCTCTCCCAGATGGTGGAATGTCTTGCCTGGGTCTTGGGCTGCTCCTGAGCCAGCACAATGGCCCATAGGAGGACGGGATGTTCTGATTGGCCAGACCACGTCCTGTACCCGCCACAGGGGCAGAATCAGCCCCACAGGAAACACCATTGGACAAGAGGGTTGTCTGTTACTGTTAGGAAGGGGAAGCTGCTGGGTGCCAGAGAGTCACTTGGTGTCTTTGGCAGTCCAGTATTCCCTGAGCTGAAGGAAATTTGAGCAGTTTACAGCCCCCACACAGAAATTAGCTATTTAAAAGTCTGTTGTTACTCACCTCTATAATCCCAGCTTGGGGGAAGGAGCAGAGGCAGGAGGACTGTGGTTTGAGACCAACCCTGGGCAAAAAGTTACTGAGACCTCATCTTAACCTAGGTGTGGTGGTGCAGGCCTGGCATTCCAGTAACATGGAAGGTGTATATAGGATAATTCTGGTCCAGGCCAGGACAGTCAAAAACACGAGACCCTACCTGAAAAATAACCAAGTTTAAAAAAGGCTGGGGGTGTGGCTCAAGTGATAGAGCACCTGCCTAGCAAGTACAAGGCCCTGAGTTCAAAACCCCAGTACACTCCCTCCCAAAAAAGTCCTACTGCCAGAGCCCCAGAGGCTTCTGGATAAGACAGAGGGTCCACACAGAATCCCTGCTTAGGCAGAAAAAGTGACATAGAACCTGGCCACCAAAGCGAGAAGGGAGAAGTGAGTCTTAGACTAGTTCCAGGTGAGAAGGAATTTCTCCCCCAGGCGTGGCCACGACGGAGGCAGGCAATCTAGGGGCACCCGGGCATGGGTTTGTGCCTGGAGCACTGCAGAAGTGTTTGTTGAGTGAATAAACAACTCCAAGCACAGTAGGATGCCTGACTGCCTGTCGGTCAGTTGGCAGCGGGGCTGAGGGGGCAGTGGAGGCCATGCAGGGTTGATGTCCTCCTGGTTACAACCCATAGCCCACTCAGCAGGGTGGAATGTGGCCCCAGCCCCTCACCCTGCTCAGGCCACATGACACCTGCTCTCCCTTGTCTTGATGTCTGTTTGGGGGCCAGGGATCGGCAGCTAGTGACAGGCACTGCTCCAAGGTGCTGAGTGGACATTGGACCCCAAATCCCCCCCAGTAGGAGGCAGCAGGGGACGAGTGGTCTTGTCACCTGGGAGGTGGCCTGGGCCTCACACCCCCCTCCTAGAAAGTGGGGGTCACAGGGACCTGGCCTGGCTTCTCAGGGAGGTAGCAGCCCCATGAGGGACAGTGCTGACCCTCTTCGGCCTGCAGCAAGCCCCAGGGACAGCAGGGGTCCCCACATGTCCCCACGGGTCTGTGTTATGTGCCAATGGTCCCCATGGCTGCTGAGCCCCCTCAATTTATAAATAAAGCCTCTCTGGGGCTCCCCGTGTCAGCGAGTTGAAGAGGACTGTGATGGTCAGCTACAACAAAAACGCCTGAGGCAGTCAGCTTATAAGGAAGAAAGGTTTATTTTTATTTATTTACTGGTGGTATTGGGGTTTGAACTCGGGGCCTTGCACTTGCCAGGCAGGCGCTCTATCACTTGAGCCACTGCCCCAACCCTTTTCGCTTTAGTTATTTTTCAGGTAGGGTCTCGAATTTTTGTACAGAGCCGGCCTCCAACTGCCATCCTCCTACTCTGCCTCCTGCGGAGCTGGATTGCAGGCACATGCCACCACGTGTAGCTAGTTTGTTGAGACGGCGTCTTGTAACTTCTTGCCGGGGCTGGCCTTGTGCGGACTGCCATGCCATCTCCACCTCTTTTGAGCAGCAGGGATTACAGATGTGCACCACTGTGCTCTCAGTTCACAGCCACTGGGCTCCATTGCTTTGGGCTTACGATGAGGTGGGAGAGCAGAGCTGCTCTCCTCATAGTGAGAGAGAGAGGGAGAGAGAGAGAGGACAGAGAGGAGAGAGGAGAGAGAGAGAGAGAGGACAGAGAGGAGAGAGGAGAGAGAGAGAGGACAGAGAGGAGAGAGGGGGAGAGGAGAGAGGAGAGGGAGAGAGAGGAGAGGGAGAGAGACAGTGAGGAGAGAGAAAGAGGGAGAGAGCAAGAGAAAAAGGAGAGGGGGAGGGAGAGAAAAAAGAGAGAAGAGAAGAGAGGAGAGGAGCGGGGGAGAGGAGAGGGAGAAAGGGCGGGGTCCTTATATACCCTTTGAGGACACGCCCCCTGACGTCATTGCTCTCGCTAAGCCCCGCCTCTTAAAAAAGGCTCCTCCACCTCCCGGGGGGCAGCCGCTGGCGGCCAGGCCTCCCGGCTCCTGACTTCTTGCAGTTAAGGGACAGGGACGACACGGGGGCTTCGTCGCCTCCACCCCTAACTGCGGGATGCCCCAAGGCTGGCTGTCGGGCCGGGCGCGGGGTGCGGGCTCCGGGGGTCCGGGGGCGCCGGGCGGTGTGCTGAGCGCCTGGCGTGTCCCGCAGCGCCGCGGCATGAAGGGCAAGGCCCGCAAGCTCTTCTACAAGGCCATCGTGCGGGGCAAGGAGATGATCCGCATCGGCGACTGCGCCGTCTTCCTGTCGGCCGGCCGCCCCAACCTGCCGTACATCGGCCGCATCCAGAGCATGTGGGAGTCGTGGGGCAACAACATGGTGGTGCGCGTCAAGTGGTTCTACCACCCCGAGGAGACCAGCCCCGGCAAGCACCTCCGCGACGGCCAGGTGAGCCGCGGCCCCCCGCCCGGCCCCCGGCCCCGCCCTCGGCGCCCCCCGGCCCCGCCCCCGGCGCCCCCGCCCCGCCCCGGCACCCCGCCCCCCCGCCCCGCCCTCCGGCGCCCCAGCCCCGCCCCCGCACCTCGCCCCCCCCGCCCCCGGCACCTCGCCCCCCCCGCCCTCCGGCGCCCACGCCCGCCCCCCGGCACCCCCCCCCGCCCCGCCCTCCGGCGCCCCAGCCCCGCCCCCGGCACCTCGCCCCCCCCGCCCTCCGCGCCCACGCCCCGCCCCCGCCCCCCGGCACCCCGCCCCCCCGCCCCGCCCTCCGGCGCCCCAGCCCCGCCCCGGCACCTCGCCCCCCCCGCCCCGCACCCCGCCCCGCCCTCCGGCGCCCCCGCCCCGCCCCCTGCACCCCGCCCCCCCCGCCCCCGCACCCCGCCCCCCCCCGCGCCGCCCCGCCCCGCCGCGGGCTGAGGCGGGACCCAAGCCCACCCGCGCTCCCTGCCTGTCCCCACCGCAGCACTGGGACCAGAAGGCCGGCCGCAGCCTCCCCGCGGGCCTGCCCGCCTCCAGCCAGAGGAAGGACTTCATGGAGGTAGGCGACACCTCCGCGCTGGGCTGGGGCAGGTGGGGTGGCCGCCGTGGCCTGGCCGCCCCGGCTCTGCTACTGAGCTGCCCGGTCCCGAGCTCCGTCCCCGCCTCTGTCCGCGGGTCCCCCGCCTCTGTAGGTCCTGCTGTGTCTGCTCTGTGCTTCTCTCTCTCTCTCTCTGGCTCTGGCTCTCTCTCTCTCTCTCTCTGTCTCCGTCTCTCTCTGTCTCTGTCTCTGTCTCCGTCTCTGTCTCTCTATCTGCCTCTCTCTCTCTCTCTCTGTCTCTCTCTCTCTCTCTGTCTCTGCCTCTCTCTCTGTCTCTCTCTGTCTCTGTCTCTCTCTATCTCTGTCTCTGTCTCTGTCTTTCTGTCTCTGTCTCTCTCTGTCCTCTGGGTCTCTGTCTGTGGCCTGGTCCTCTGGGACAGGACGGGGTCCCCTGCCAGCCCCTGACGAGGCCACCATGCCCGCAGCGCGCCCTGTACCAGTCGTCGCACGTGGACGAGAACGACGTGCAGACGGTGTCGCACAAGTGCCTGGTGGTGGGCCTGGACCTGTACGAGCAGATGCTGAAGACCAAGAAGTACCAGGACAGCGAGGGGCTCTACTACCTCGCGGGCACCTACGAGCCCACCACGGGCATGATCTTCTCCACGGACGGCGTGCCCGTGCTCTGCTGAGCGCCGCGGGCGTGTGCGCGTGTGCGCCGTATGCATGCACGTGTGTGCACGTGTGCACACGTCTCCAGCCCCCGTCCATCCCCTCGGCGCCCCACACGGGGGTGGGGGCTCCTCTCTGCTATCAGGGTACGGCTCTGTGTCCCCTCTGGGTGGCCCTGGCCGGACAGGCCTGGCTTCCTCCCAGCACCTTGTTCCCAGTTGGCGAGGTCCCCCCGGCCCTCCCCGGGTCCCCATGCAGACTACAGTGCGGATTTCCAAGGAACCAAACGCAGGCCTGCTCTGGGTTTGGTCACCCCCAACGTGGCGTCCATCCCCAAGGCCCCTCCCAGCATGGGTTTGGGGCTCCCGACGCCAACCAGCCTCAGCCGACCAAGCCGGGCACCTGGGCACCTGCCCCGCCTGGCCTCCATCCTCTCAGGACGGCCTGGACTTGGGGAACAAGCCAGGGGGAGGGGGGGGAGGAAGGGCAGCCCAGGCATCGCCAGGCATCCAGCGGCACCCCCACCCCCAGCCCTGACCCTTACACTACAGAGACCCCCCCCAAAATGGTGCTGAAACCCGCGGCCGGCCATGCCCAGCCCCTCCAGCCGTGAGGGGTCTTCTTACTGTACAGTTTTATTGTACCAAGAGTCGCCTGCCTCTGTATCATACACTTTTAAATGGAGTCGACTTTTTAATTATATATATAAAGATAAATATATATAAATATATATAAATATAAACTTTTTAAAACTGTGAAAAAATAGCTATGAAATTATAAAAAAAAAACACACATTCTGACGTGCAGAATATTTTTTTTTATTTCCTGTTAGATTGTGAGTGTCTAGCACCCGGCTTCATGAGCCCCACCCCCACCCTGCTCCCCAAGTCCCCAGCACCCCCTTGCTCTCCCATGTGTACTGTATGCCCCCCCCAGGTGAGAAAGAGAGAGGGAGAAGGGAGGGCGCCCAGGCCCAGTTCCTGCTGGGCCCAAAAGCACTTAGCCAGCCCCCGTGCCTTCCGGACCGGCCGGACCCGGAGGCCTCCAGCAGACAATCTAGAGGAAAGGAAAAGCCAGACTTTTGGTTTTTGTTTTTTTGGGGGGGAGTTATTGTTTGCTTTTTTTTTTTAAGTTTCTTTTGGAATTTTGTTTGTTGGCAAAAATTCTGTGTGATCTTTTTCATAAAAAAAAAAATTTAATTCGAAAAATACTGTTGCTTGGAGTGAGTTATTTCAGGGGTGGGTGGGCTTGGGGGGGTCTGGTTATGGGGGCGGATCCACGGCTTCTCGTTATGGGGCTGTGGGGTGGCCAGAGGAGGAGGACTGGAAGCTGAGGCTTGTAGCAACGTGTGGTTATTTAAATTTGAGCTCATTTAAGGAGAGGACAATAAAAAGCCAAATTTCTCAGTGGCACCAGCGGTGGCTGGGGTATGGGATGGGGAGGAGCGGCTGTGTCCGGAAGTTCAGGAAGTTCTTGGGCTTGAGGGCTGTGTCTCCTTTCCCTTCCTTTAAAATGCCACTTGAGAGGCTGAGGTCAGGAGGATCGAAGTTTGAGGTCAGCCCACACATACAGTTCATGAGACCCCCATCTCCAAAATAACCACAGCAAAATGGGCTGGAGGTGTGGCTCAAGCGGTAGAGCGCCTGCTTTGCAAGTGTGACGTCCTGAGTTCAAATCCCAGTTCCACCAAACAAAACAAAAACCCCACAGTGCTATTAACTGTGCTAAGCAGCAAGCCCCAGCCCTGGGGCCCTGGAGAAGACGCTGATGGTCTGGGTGGGCCTGAACCCACACATGGATGGGGCAGGAAAGAAAAGTCCTATAGCTGGGAAGGGTGGAGGTTCTGGCCCCAGCCCTTTGGGCCCCGGGGAACCTGAGTGGGAGACTGGCTGTCCAGTGACAGCAAGCATGGGTCACCGGATAGCTGCAGACGTCAACCCTGGCTTTGCTATTTTGCAAAGAGGGCAAGGACGTTAACAGGCATTTGCACAGGGGAGGCAAAGCCTCCATCGCGGTTCCGACGGCTCTGAGCTGCAGAGAAACTGAGTCACGGGTGGGCAGGGGCCCGCCCCAGCTCCGAGGCTCAGGAAGCGCGGCGCGCCAGCACCACCTGGTGGCTGCCTCTGGCATTGCGCCCTAGCCTTGGCCCACGTGCTTGTGCCTGAGTCCCTGCAGAGTGGGACTTCCTCACCCTTACAGTGGGTTGCACATGGCTGTGCTCAGGCCACCAGGCCACTACGACCCCCAGGGGCAAAGCTCCCCTCACGTGCGCAGGCAGGGCCACATCACAGAGAGACCAGCTAGTGACCCAGCAAGCCCTGCGGGCGGGCTCGCCCCACCTCCCCCCTCCCCATCTACCCCCCTCCAGAGCCCATGTGGCCGTCCGTCGTCCGTCCGTCCCCACCCCCCCAAGCATGTTCCAGGAGCCAGCATGGCAGTCCCTCTGCCGTCATCTTTAATGGCCAGTGCGGTAGTTAGAGGACACGCAGGTGGACGGGACACAGCGGGAGGTGGCACAGGGAGGTGTCTCCCCCTGGAAAAGCTGTCCTTGGCAGGATGCCGGGAGCCAGCAGCAGCGGCCACCAGCCGCCTCCCTACTTGGCCAGGACTCGTGGTGCTGGGCGGGGCGTGGGAGAGGAGGCTCAGGTCGAGAGCGGACCTCGCTTGTCCCCGCCTGGATGGTGAGCAGGTGGACAGAAGGGAGGCCAATGCAGGGTGGGGGTACCGTCGGGCACAGCGCAGGCCTGAGGCCGGGGGGTCAGGGGATGGTCCCAGCATGGGGTGGGCAGTGGACACACCCAAGCCAGCTCCCAGGCTCCCCCGTGTTTGGGAAGATCGGTGTGTAAGGCCCGGGTGGGGGACAGGAAGGGACAGCTAAGGGTGAGCAGGCTGGGGACGCCCCTCTGCTCCGAGGCGCTTGTGCCCATGAGGAAGGGTCCCCACCCCATCAGTGGCTTCCACATCAAAGCAGACCCTGCAGTGGGGTGACAAGGAAGGGACGTGCGGGGCACGGCGTGAGTGCTGGCCTGGCTACCGCTGAGGCCACGGGACACAGAGTGAAGGGCGGGCGTGAGATGGAACATGGGACACGGGGCTGGCAGAGCCCTGGTGGCAGAAACACACCGTGGCCGGAGAGGATGGCTGGACTCAGAGAGGTGACCATATTGGCACAGGAGGCAGCCGGGGCCCCTCAGGCACTGAGGCGGGGGTGGGAGGGGACCTCAGGCCTTGGGGGCCCCCATCCACCCCAGCAGCTCTCCCTGGGCAGCGGGCAGGGCCAGGCTGGGTGGCGCGGGCTCAGGGGCCGGCGGGGACAGAGCTGTTGGTGGTGGCCGTGTGAAAGCAGCTGCTGTGCGCCTCGCGGGTGAGACTGTAGGTGCAGTAAGCCACAGCGGAGCCCAGCGTCAGCCCCGACATGTACGACACGGTCATGGTGTTCCCTGTGGACAAGACTGGCCTGAGGGCACAGCGGAGGGGCGGCCACGGGCGTCAAGGCACATGGTGCTGGACAAACCCGATGGCTGTCGCCTCTCAGTTGTGCAGTGTGGTGACAGTCCCCCGCTGACCCTTCTCTGGGTCTCGTCCTCCCTTGGCTGCCCAGTCCCACTGGGGGTCCCAGGCCTGGCCTGCTCTCTGTCCCCCCCAACACCCCGTTTCTACCTCCAGCCTCTGTCGGGGACGACTTGGGACGTGCGTCACACCCTCTGATGCCCCTCCCCAGTCGATGACAGTGCCGACCTTCCTGCCCTGAGCAGCGGACCCCGGATCTGGGGAACCCCTCCTTGACGCTCACAACCCGCCTCACAATCTGTCAACCGGCCCGTGAACTCTACCATCAAAATAGATCCAAGGCTGGGCACCGTGGCTCACGCCTGTAATCCCAGCTACTTGGGAGGCTGAGATCTGGAGGATCGTGGTTCAAGGCCAGCCTGAGCAAAATGTTCACAAGACCTCATCTCCAAAATAACCAGAGTAAAACAGACTGCAGGTATGATTCAAATTCCAGTCCCACAAAGAACAACAACAAAAAAAACACCCAAAATCTACAAACTTGTTCCAACTCCATGGAACCCTTCCTCAGGCCCGGACAGCTGCAGCGCCTGTCGTCCCTGGTTGTGCGCTCACGCTGAGGTCACACACCTTCTGTTTCCACTCCCTGGCCCCAGCCTGCATTTGTGTTCCTGCCGCAGGACCTTTGCCACGTGGCTCCCTCCACGTGTCCATGTGTTCCATCTTCACTCACAACCTCCTCCAGGGTTTTGCTCGAAAGCCACCTCCTCAGTGAGGCCTTCCTGCATTACAGCACCCCTCCACCTCCCGCCCCACTGGTGCTTCTCTCTGTGCCCACCACCGTCCAACACAACACCGTTGCTGTCTGGCTGTTCGTTGGTGTAGGGACAACCCCTAGGACAGTGCCTGGCATATAGGAGGTGCTTGCCGAGCAGAAGGTGGATAAATGAATGACTGGCTGACAGGTGTCCTCCCATCTAAAACCCTCCTGACTGACATCAACTTGATCCCCAGAGGAGTCGCGTGCACCTTTCTGTTGGCTGTCCTTGGCTTCTCCTGGCCTCACTGGGGGGAGGGGAGGCATTGGGCTTCTGGGACAGAGCCCCCTGCTGTCCCTGGGGCCAGGTGGCCTTACCTGCCAGCTCCCGCTGCTTGGGGCTCACTTTGCCAGCCGCCAGGATCATGGGCACGCTGCCGAAGTAGCCATTGCTGATCCCCATGAGGAGGGAGAAGACGCAGGGCCAGGCGGGGTGGCGCAGTGCGGGCGTGCCGCTCGGGTACACGCACAGGATGAAGAGGGGGATGAAGACCACGCGCAGACAGGAGCAGGCCAGCAGGTGCGTGCCCCGCCAGTCCACGGGCAGGGCCGCCAGGATCTACAGGGGAGCCAGGCGTGTGGGTCCCCTGCCTGCGTCCACTGCAGCCCGCAGCCACACCTGGCTCTGCCCAACTCGGCCTGGTCCACGCATCATAGCGGATTAATGCCCTCTGGCTTTTCGTTTGTTTTTTGGTGGTCCTGGGGTTTGAACTCGGGGCCTCACGCTTTCTAGGCAGGCGCTTTACCACATAAGCCACGGCCCAAACCCTTTTCGCTTTAGTTATTTTTCAGGTACAGTCTTGCATTTATGCCCAGGCTGGCCTCAGACCATGATTCTCCTATCTCTGCCTTCTGTGTAGCTGGGATTACAGGTGAGAGCAACCATGCCCGGCTCCTCACAGTGGTCTTGCCTGATAGGGCCTGGAGATTGTTTGACTGAGGAAGACACCAAGGCCCAGAGTCTAAGGGCATGGAGCAGCGGGGTGGTAGCGGGGTTAGGGTTTCAACCCACTAACAGCTTTGCTACCTCTGGAACCACAGACTCACTTCTTGGACCCTTCACCTCTGTGACTCCAGCTCCCCCTCTGAGCCTCACACTCTTCAGTCATTAAGACAAGGCCCATCCCAGATCTGCACAAAGCATCCGAAACGGCAGTGTAGACTCCACTGCTCTGACCACCAACCTTGTCTGCACATGTGCCAGACGTTGCCTGGGTTCTTCCGATCCCCGAGTCACTTCTGGGTGCCTCCCACCCTCTCTGGTTGGCTGAGCCTGTGTCATCCCAGGCATCCAGCAAACAGTGACCATGACAGGGAGGAGGATGAGGCTGAGCCCACCCTGGGATGCTGATTCTTGGGAGCCTTCCTGGGGACCATGCAGGGGTTTCCCTCCACAGGGCAGCGGTGGGGATGGTGCCGCTGCATGGCTGCCACTCTCCCAACCACGGACCCAGTGCATCCTCAGCCTGGGGACACTCCCAGACCTCCCCGAGACGGCCACCACCGGCAGGCAGCCCACCCACCTTGCCCACGAAGTCCGAGAGGTTGAACACGGCCATGACCAGGATGGGCAGCCACTCGCCCAGCACACAGTGGCGGATCTCAGACTCCAGGCCGGGGAACAGGCACAGCGTGATGAAATACGTCACCGCGATGGACAGCATGTCGGCCCAGATGACCCGTGCCACCACATAGCGGTGAAGCATCAGGGCTGGGGGACGGGGGGCGCAGGTCAGAAGGCAGCAGCCCGAGGCCCTGCTGTCCCGACCTGGGTGTGAGCCTCATGCAGCCAGGGCCCTGGGGCCCACGCTCACCTCTGAAGGTGGGCCAGCTCCTCTCGGCTCGGGGCCGAGGCACGTCAAAGCGCATATAGGCCCCCCCGCCCGCGGGCTCATGGGCCGGACTGTCCTTCGGGGACCCACTGCTGGCCAGGACAGGGCCTTGGTGCTCCTGGACCAGGAAACAGGGAGTTGGGGTTTGGTGGAGGGAGGGATGAAAGGCTTGGCCGGGCGGATGGGAGAGTGTCACACTCAGGCAGGCATCCAGCCAGCGCCTACTGTGTGCAGGCAGCCTCTCCATCCTTATCAAGGTCTCTCAGAGTTCTGAGATTGCCAATCCCGTCTTGTCCCCCCTCCACTTAGCCTGCGGTCACTGCAGGTGTCCCTAGGTGACCACGCCTGGCCCTGAGGGCGCTATGCAGCCCCGATGACACCAGAGGGCACCCAATCCCCCAGATGGCCGCGCTGCCCCTAGAGTGGCACCAGGGTCACCCCAGCCAGGGGTGTCTGTGCTGGGGACCCCACGGGGGAGGTGGAAACCACAGTGTGGAGTCCCTGGCCACCATGGCCTGACCGTGGCTCTGGTGTCCTCCCTGGTGGGATCCTGGGGGCCCTGCCTCGTCTGTCCCCTCGTGTCCCTCCTAGGTGGTGTCTCTAGTTGGAGCAGGAGCAGAGTGAGCTGTGGAGGTCACTGTCAGGCTGAGTCGCAGGAAGGAGTCCCACTGGGTCGTCCTTAAAGGATGGCGACTTAGTTCGCAGAACGTCACCGCGGACAGGGCCAGGCACACAGCGGGTGACCTGGGACACCGCAGCCGCAGGGAGCCGCAGGCCAGGGGACGATGCCCGCTCGGGCGGCTCCCCTCGGCCGTCCTTACGTAAGTGTCGCACTTACGAAGTGGACGTCCCCGGCGGCGACGTCGTGGTGCACGCGGTAACCGGCCGGGCCCCGGCGGCTGTCGCGCGGCCGCGTGGTGTAGTAGAGCACAAAGCGGCTGCGCCGCACCAGCAGGTGCAACAGGAAGCACAGCAGCTCCAGGCCCACGGACACCAGGAAGAAGATGAGCGTGCTGGCGCGCTCGTCCGGCAGCAGCAGCTTGGTGAGGATGCGGCTCAGGGAGATCATCACCCCCGCCGTGCCTGCGGGAGGCGGCGGGGCGACCTGGGGCTCAGGTCTGGCCCCGCCCCCAGCTCCTCCCAGGCCCCGCCCTCCACGAGCCCCGCCCCACACCCTCATCCTGGCCAGTCTCCCGGCCCCGCCTCCAGCTCCTCCCTGTCCCTGCCCAGCCGAGCCCGCCCCACACTCTCAACTTGACCAGTATTCTGGCCCCTCCCACCAAAGCCCCGCCCCACACCCTCATCCTGGCCAGTCTCCCGGCCCCGCCCACCTCGGAGCCCCGCCCCACATCTTCATCCTAGCCAGTCTCCCGGCCCCGCCTCCAGCTCCTCCCTGGCCCCTCCTACCAAAGCCCCGCCCCACCATCGTCCTGGACAGTCTCCCGGCCCCGCCCCCTGCCCACTCTGAGCCCTGTACCTCCATCCTGTCCAAAGACACCCCCAGCTCTGCCCACCCCACCCATCCTGGCCAGTCTACTAGCCCCGTCCCCACCCTAAGCCACACCCTTAGCTCTTTCTAGGCCCTGCCTACCCCCTCCATCCTGTCCAAAGTCCCCCACTGAGTTCCACCTCAACTACTCCCAGGCCCCACCTCACCACGTCCATCTTGGCCTTTCTCATTCTGTGCAAAGCCCCCTACACTCATTCCCAGCCCTGCCCACCTTGTACAAAGCCCCCTAGACCCCCAGCCCCTCTCACTAAGCCCCACCCCATTCTGTCCAAAGGCCCCTATTCCTCCCAGTCCCCCCACTCTATGGAGTGCAAAACCTCCCAACTCCCCCACCCCTGCCTCCATGAGGTCCCCCTAGCTCCAGCCTGTCCCACACCCCAGCTGGGTTGGATCTGGTCTCACTACCTACCCCAACTCCAGGCTGTTCACCCATCCATCAGGCCCACGCTCCCCAGGAGCTGCCCCCAGGGGCTGTGCACACTCGGGGTGCCCTGCCCTGTGCCGGCTCACACCCACCCCAGCATTTCCTGAGCGCCAGCCAAGTGCCCAGCACCGTCCTGCCCTGGGGACCCAGGGGGAGTACATGCCACCCCAGGGCTTGGTGGGGGGAGGCAGCAAAGAAGTTGCAGAAACGGAACAACTGTTCGGGACACAGGCTGGGGCACGGAAGTGTAACGGGTCTGCCAGGAGGCTGGCAGAGCCACCTGCTCAGGAGTGAGGCCCTGAGAGAGGGCAGGGGCTGGAGGGAGGGGATGGGGTCAGGACCCGACCGGCAGGAAGGCTGCAGCCAGCGGGTGGAGTTTCACCTAAGCTCAACCAAGAACCACAGGACGGGGAGGCAGGGGTGGGTTGTGGCCACTCTGAATCATTTTGGGGATGGGGGCTCTGAGCAAATCTTTCTTGTGAGGACCTTGGCTGCACAGTCCCCCAGATTGGCCCGCTAGCCTCATCCATCCCCACCACAAAATGGTGTCCTGCTGCCAGGCCACCTTCCGGGAACCAGGGCTCTAAGGACATCTGGTCAACCTCAGCACAAGGCAGAGGGCTGTAGAATGTAGTCAAGGGGGAGCAATGGACCCTGGCTGAGGTCAGCTTCCTGCCCACCTGTGACCAACCCCAGCCCAGAAGGAGGACGAGACACATGTAGGATGGCAGGACAAGAGGGAGTCAGCTGCCTGGACTGGGTGCTGGAGAGAAGGGGACAGACTGGGTGGATTCTTCCTACAGACAGATCCAGATGACCTGGAAGCAGACTAGGTGCTGGGTAAATTCGGGGTGTGAGTGAGCAGTGCTGTTTACCAAAAAGGGGTGCCTTGGTGATCAGGAGTGTCTGAGAGGCCTGAGGCCCTCAAATGTGTGTGCCCAGCAGGGAGGAGGCTGGTGGATCAGGGTCCCTAGGAAACCCTAGGTGCTGAGGGGCACCTGACATCCCGGGTGCCCCAACACACACACCCAGAACGCCTATCACACCAGCCTCACTGGGACAAGACTCCAGCCATGCGGTGTGTGCCCCTCACTCCAAAACCACAGCATACAGGTGTCCCCTGCCTCTCTACTCCCACCCACGCCGGGTAAGGAAAAACAGCGGTCATGGATCCCGGCTGCTCATGCCAGAGCTTCTGAGCCTCCTCTCTATCCACAGCACAGCACACCGCGGAGGGGTCCCCAGGAAGACGCCCGGCGCCCCCGGGGGTCTTAGTACTCACTCTCCCCGGTCATCACGCCCTGCGTGTATCTCTTGGGCAGCATTCCCGTGTACCCATAGAAGCTGGATTGCTGCACTTGAGAGAGAGGGGGGACCGTGAGACACCACTTGTCACCTGTCACATGGAGCACTGAGCTGGTAGGCAGGGTGCAGAGGGACATTCACACCACAGGACAGCAAAGCTGGACACAGGCACCCTGCAGCACACCGTAAAAATGCTGCTGCCCCAGTCAGGTGCCACCAGGATGAGCCTGGTGGATGGACCAGGGCAGAAAGGACGTACGTCACTTCTGGGTGATGCAGTGCAAAATGACGTGGACTTCCGGCCTTTCTTACACCAGCAGGGACAGAGAGGGCATGGGTTGAGGTGGGATTGTCGCCTGAGTCCCCCATTGGCTGCGTGGAACATGGCCCCTGTCCCCTCCCCCTGATTGGGGGGTTGGACATGCAGCAAGGACAAGAAATAAATCTTCATTTGTGGTGCCACGGAGAAGTTCCGGGTCATTTGTTACTATGAGAGGTAACAGCCTCCTGTCCTAGCATTGCCTCTCTCTCTCTTTCTCTCTCTCCTCTTCCTCTCTCTCTCTCTCTCTCTCTCTTTCCTCTGGGCTTTTTGGTTGCTGGGCTTTGCACTTGCAAGGCACTTCCAAGCCCAACACAAAATTTTTGGGGGGATTCTAGGATTGGAACTCAGGGCTCATGCTTGCTAGGCAGATGCTCTCACACTTGAGCCACGCCCTCAGCACCCCAGCATTGTTTGTTTGGTGGAACTGGGATTTGAACTCGGAGCTTTGTGCTTGTGGCTACTGCTTGAGCCACACCTCCAGTCTATTGTCCTCTGGTGATTTTGAAGATGGGGCCTTATTAACTATTTGCCCAAGCAGGCCTTGAACCTCGATCCTCCCAATCCCAGCCTCCCAAGTAGCTGGGATTACAGGCAGGAGCCACTGGCACCCAGCTTGCAGCATTGTTTTTTAACCATACAAGACCACAGCCCTGACACGCTGCCTGTGTGGGGAGGGTGAGTCCCAGAAGCCTTGATTCCATGTACACAGATACGTACATGCACGTGTTTATGGGGTCATTATGTCAAATGTCTTCCTTCTTGGAATTCATGGTCCCCCCCAAAAAAGTTTAAAGGCTGACAATGTAGCCTAGTGGTAGAGCACCTGCTTCCCTAGCAGTACAAGGTCCTGAGTTCCATCCCCAGCACCGCAAGAACAAACAAAAAACAATAAAAAAAGTTTAAAAGTCTGCCAGGGGGCCAGTGGCTCACACCTATAATCCCAGCTACTTAGGAGGCAGAGATCAGGAGGATCACAGTTTGAATCCAGACCAGGCAAATAGTTCTCAAGGCCTTATCTCGAAAAACCTTTCACAAAAAAGGGCCGGTGGATTGGCTCAAGGTATGGACCCTGAGTTCAAACCCCAGTGCTGCAAAAATTTTTAAAAAGTTTAAAAGTCTACAAACAACATGCCTGGACCCTCCTAAAATGTCACTGGCAAGAGCAACAGTGACATGGTAACATGGCAGGACAGTCCTTGAAGGCTAGTTTGTGTCAGAGAACGGGGGGATGCAGGGGTGACATGGGGGGTCTCTGTGCACACGCACACATGTGCACACGTCACCACCCGGCCTAGCTCACCTCCTTCAGTGTGCCCTCGACCCCAGCCACCCCGCCCCCACTCCCTACCTGTGCAGCCGAAGGCCACAGTGCCCACGGCGGCCAGGTTGATGGCGTAAGCCTGGTCGTGGGAGAAGAGCTGCAACCACACATCACAGACGCTGATGAACAGCAGGGGCCCCAGGGCCAGGAGGTAGCCTGCAGGGGGAGGTCATGAGGGGCATCAGGCAGGCCGGGGGCTTCCCCCATCATCCACCCCACCCTGCTGTGCAGCCAGGTCTCAGGCTGTCTCTCTGCCCGTCCCCCTTCATGCTGGGCAGGCTAAGGACTCTTTGGAGGTCCAGGGAACACCCCAGAGGGCCTCCTGGAGGAGGTGCCATTTGAGCCAAGCCTTGTAGCTGGATATTGCCATGAAGAGGACACAGAACAGCATGCTAGGCACGGGAAGAGCTCATTCAGGAGTCTGGGGAAGTGACATAGGGCCCCATGGGAAATGCACCCATTTTTCAGAGGGGCAGCAAGGCTGGGAAGCCGGGTGGGGAGCAGGGGGGCTGGGCGGTGCACCTGCGGTGATCCTGGTATGCAAGCTCAGTCTCTCCACCAGCACGTTGTTCAGAAGCACGGCTGCCAGTGCCACCAGGATGTAGGTAAGGCTCATGTCGAACACGATGGAGGTCCCTGCAGGGGCGGGCGAGCAGCGCTCAGCGGGGGCCCTGCCCTCCACACCCAGTGCCCTGCAAGCCCTCACTTCTCTGTCCCCAACGAGCTGACTGCAGAAAGGGTGAGTGGCTGCCCTCAGGTCACCCAGCAATTCACAGTGGAGCCAAGATCATTCTTTTTTTCTTTTTGTGGGGCTGGAGATTGAACCCAGGGCCTCCACCTGCTGGGCCTCCCAGCCCTTTGGTTTGTAGGTGTTTTTGAGATAGGGTCTGGCTAACTTTGCTCAGGCTGGCCTTGAACTTGAGATCTTCCCACCTCTCCCTCCTGAGTAGTTGGGATTACAGGTATGTGTCACCATGCTCGGCTAAGGAGCCAGTGTTTGAGTAAGAAGGGTCTTCAAGCACGACCCCCTGTCCCGGGTCACCTGGGCTGGCCGAGGAGGGACCCACCTGGGTACTTGTGATGCAGGTAGTCCACGTCGGTGATGAAGCTGTTGTACGGCAGGAGGAAGCCCACACCGGCTAGCAGCATCGCGAAGTAGATGGCATGGTAACGGTCATCCGGCACTGGCTCTTCCACCGCTAAACCGCAGACACCAGGAGAGACTTGGCAAGGCCCACTCAGGCCACGGCCCCTGCCTGCGTGTGCTGTCCAGCACCACGGTCACTGTCCACTGTCACCACAGCACCCCCGTCATGGGCACGGGAGCAGTGGTGTGGCCTTTTGAAGATGCGGCCAGCTGGGTGGTGACACCTGGGGGGCTGGGTCACGTCTTCCAGTGTGTTATGCTCTAACACACTGTCCATAGTCGGGATGAATGGTCAGTAGCGCCTGTCATCACCTGCTTCCTGGCTCTGTGGCTCTGAGATAAATGATTCCATTTCCCCCGGAAGTTAAGATGGCACCTGACAGTGATCCTCCTGCCTGTGCCTCCTGCACAGACGGATTACAGACCTGAACCACCAAACCTAGCGTGTTTGCTGCTATGCAGTCTTCCTGATTTTTTGCCTGGACTGGCCTTAAACTGTGGTTCTCCTGTCTCTGCTTCCCAGTAGCTGGGATTACAGGCATGAGGCAGCATGTCCGGGCCTCAGTTCTTTTTCTTCGTGCTTGTGTGAAGAAGCTGTGTTCATACTGTCAGGCTGAGGATTAGGGTTACAGAAGAATCACGAACAACTCGCAAAGACGTGGGGAAGGGGTGGCATGGTTTTGGGGACACGCACTTTAATAAGCCAGTTTCTTTCTATCTATCGATCTATGTACCATCTATCATCTATCAACTTTCCTTCTGTGTTCTAGTATTTATCCGTCTATCTATCTGTCTATCTGTCTGTCCGTCTGTCCATCTATCTAGCTATCATTTTCTATTGATTCTGTTTCTCTAGTTGAACTCTGACCAGTCCAGCTACCTTCATCAACTCCATCGTCACCATGGCTGTCACAGTTAAAAGCACTGCTACCACCTGACCACCACCCTCTCCTGCGGCTATAGCTGGCAGGGCTCCCCACCCCTACTGCCTACTGCCACCCCTGGGGGACTGACAAGGTGGTTCTGTTGACCCACATGGGACAGAAGCCCATCCTAACCCAATTCAGGGCTCAGCCGGCAGAATCTCCCCTGTGCTTGTGCAGACTGGGGACAGAGAACAAACCCACCTCTGAGCCAGAAGTGGTACTGGCACAAAAGTGGCACCCGAAGTGCCTGAGTGCCAGGGACAATCCTAAGCAACACTGTGGGGATTCTGCTGTGACCGCTACTGCTTCCCAAGTTCCAGATGATCAAAACAAGCACCAGACAATGGTGACATGCCCACGGTCTCCGAGCAGGCCAAGGATGGGAGGCAAGGCCAAACCTGGGCCGTCCAACTCCACACCTGCCCTGCAAGTCCGATCTCACTCTCAGGTGGCCAATTCCTCAGTCTGGGACAACTGAACCTCAGAGAGGATTAGGTCCTTGCCTCAGGTCACACAGCGGGGCGGACAACCAGCTCTTTAAAGCTTACATCCAATCCTCCTTCTGGGCTCTTTCCTCTGCTCTGCAGTTACGCATGGCCTGCTGTGTCACACAAATGTGACCAAAGGGGCCCGGTCACTTCAAGACAGACACATCTGGGTTAGTGCATGATTTCCTGTGTGCCCCTCACCTGCCCGGAGACCTGGAAGCTCAAATGAAGATGGAGCCTCCACAGCCCGGATGTCCCAAGATGGCGACTCACACAGCTCTGGCAGCACGGGGTGGAGACCCTGCGCTGGGTTTGTTTGTTACTGAAGTGGGCCTAACGCTTCCTGACCAGGCTCCCTCTGCAGCTGATTCTTCCCAAGGTCCCCGCTCCCCCCAGGCTGACCACAGGCCACGCACCACTCCCTGCTGTGGAGCAGACACACACCTGGCCCACACCCTCACTCACCAGCATCCATGAAAGTGGGGACACTTCTGACCCTGACACCCTCATCCTGAGCGGCCTCCATGGTGGTGGCCTCCAGCTGGAAACTGTCAAAGCTGAAACTTGTCACCACACTCCTGTCAGGCGTGGCTGCCACACTGGGCTCCTTGAGACGCTGGCTTCCCACGGAGCCCATGGCAGCCTGTGCAGTGGGAAAAGAAGGAGAGGTGAGGGGAAGAGACAAGGGGACACCCTGATACCATGGTCAATTCGCCAAACTATACTCCTGGGAGCCATCTTGTCCATTCACCCCCTCCCTTTTGACATTCGCCCTAAAGGAAAAACTTAGTAGTAAGGGGATGCCACCTTGGTTCTATGGCAACAGGGTGGAAAGGGCAGAGGCTGTAGCCCCAGGGGTAACCACAGTGGCACACCTGGAGGTGGCAGTCGTGGGCAGGGGAGACACAGATGGACTGGAGAAATATTTTGGAGGTGGAATGCCAGGACACGGTGAGGAATCAAAAACGGGTGACATAGCCAGGCACCAGTGGCTCACAGACACCTGTAATGCCAGCTGTTCAGGAGGCAGTGATCAGAAGGATCGCGGTTCAAAGCCAGCCCCAGTCAAATAGTTCTTGAGCCCCAATCTCAAAAATACCCATCACAAAACAGGGCGTGGGGGGGAGTGGCTCAAACGGTAGATCACCTACCTAGCAAGCATGAGGCCCTGAGCTCAAATCTCAGCACCCCCCCCCAAAAAAAAAAGTCCCATTATGGGACATTTGGTGTGCCAGCACCAAGCTGTAAGTGTCTCACACAGTGTCTCCCTTTGGGAGGGAAGGTGTGCTGATGTTCATTCATCTTCCAGCTGACGAAAACGAGGGTCACAGGTGAGGAACTTCCACTGTGGTTTTTCCAAGTAGAAAGTGTGGAACCCCAGGCTCCAATCGAGGTCTGTTTGACACTCTGAGCCACAGTGGCCCTCAGCTCTGGGGTCAGCAGCTCATGATTGAGAGACCCCACTGGGGAGGCTGCCCCTGCGTGTCCAGGGAGTCTAACTTCGCCTCCGAAAACAGTTAACTCCCGATCTTCCTAACAGCAGACCGCACAGAGATGGAACCAGCATCAGGCTCTGGACTGGACAGCTCCCTGTCCCCATGAGCACGCTCAAAAGAAGCTGGGAGGGGCTATTCTGATTATCTCTATGACTGGCCCACTGGCCTGCCCTGCACCAGGCCTCCCTGCTCATGTTCCCTCCCCAGGCCTCGTTTCTCCAGCTTTCCTGCCTCAGTTTACCCCCGTCCCAGCCTCTAGGCTGACCAGTTACTGAGTCCTCCTCCTGGCCCAGTGTTCCCCCTTTGCTAGTCTCTAGAGAACTGTACTGGGGCAGGGAAGCCAGCTGTACCCCATTTCCAGGCTCAAAGCTGTCCTGATGGCCCCTCGCCAGCCTCTCTGTCCACCTTTGGAGTTGAGGGAGGAAGCAGGTCTTAGGAAGCAGCGGGCTTGAGCTTAAGCCATGGCAGCACACTATGCTCCTGCCCTGGCCTGTCACCGGCCATACCATACTGACCTCAAGAGTTGTTGAGCTGGGGGAGGCTTGGAGACCCTTGCTTAGGCCCCTCATCAGGCTCCGCCCCCCCAGGCGCCTCCTCTCCAGATATGAAAGGTGGGAGGTGGGGGACAGGGGAGAGGACAGTGATGTGATGATATTCCACAAAGATCAAACACAGCTCCTACAGATCCACTCAGAACACAGGCTCAGCCCTGGAGGGCACTGAAACCCAAGTGGCCTGGCTCTTGTTCAGCAGGGACAGCCAAGGCGAAACCCCCACCACACAGCATCCCGGCTGTGCCTGGCCAGCAAGCGTGGTTTCCGCCCCACAGAGGCCACGGCCATCCGGGAAGGCGGACGTGCTCAGCATCCAGCCAGGCAGTGCTCCCTGGCTCCACTGGTGTGGCGGGCAGCTGCCACCCACGCTGTCCGCCTCAGCCACTGTCCCCATAGCCTTCAACTCTCTGCTCCCTGGCCCCTCACACTCCTGCTGTGTCTGCTTTAATTACAATTTAAGGAAATGCCATACAGGCTCAAAGCCCCAAGAATTTACAGGTCTCTGCTCCTCCACACCTAACAGCTGGCTGGGATTCCTCAGGGCTTGCTCTGCTGAAATGACACAGGCCACTTCTTCAGTCTTGACTATTTCTTGGGCCTCAGTTTTCCCCTCCTCACTCTTATAGGATTGGGTGTTCGGTTAAAAAAAAAAAGGCGTGGCTGTACACAGTCAGTGTTCAATAGTTGCACAGGCTGCCAGTTAGGGAGTGCCATGTGGGCCAAAGAGGGTTCCTGACCCTCAGCATTTCCCACCAAGGAGGACTCATGCCCCCAGCTTGCACAAGGGGTGACAGAAGCCCAGAGAGGTCAAGTTCAGTGTCAGGCAGCTGCACCTGGCTGGCTCCACCCGGCCCCTCCATTGTGGTTGGGACAGAGAAAGCCCCCTGGCAGTGTGGGGGTGCTGGGCCCCTGGACCCCAACTCCAGGCAGGCCTGGATCCCGGCTGCTGGCTCCACCTCCAGCCAGCAGAGGGGACAGAGGACACTGAATTCCACTTAACAAGCCAGCATGCCCACCCACCTCTGGCCTTAAACTTCTGGCTCTGCCACAGCCCTGCTTAGCCGGATGCCCTTGGATGCCCCTGTCCCTGTGCTCAGGCTGGCCTGGGGTGTCTCCCTGCTCAACCCGCAGCCCAGCTTCCAGGCTGCTGGACACCCTGCTTTGAAGTCCAGCCTCCTTCTTGGCGCCCCAGGGGACAGACAAAGGCAGTACCCAGGCTACAGATGGGCCAGGGTCTGGGATGACCAGTAGTAGGCTTAGGGACAGCAGAGGCCCACTGCCCTGCTGTGCCCGAACCTTCTCGGACCATGGCTTCCCCACGAAGTCCCAGCAGTTGCAAAGTTGGACCACAGGCCGGTGTCCCCAGGCCAGTGCCCCCAGCAAAGGGAGGACCCTTTGGGACAACCACGAGGTGACCCCTGGGTGACCACTAGGAGGGGACTGGCTGGGGGAAGGGGCGAGAGGGACAGAGGGGGTCCAAGAGGAACTTGGGGTGGGAGGACCTTTGAGAAGGTGCGCCGAGGGGACAAGGCGACGCCAAAAGACCCTGCTCGGTCAGAGCCACCGGCTGGCGCCTGTCCCTTTCCGAGGTCCGGGTCCTGCGCTCGCAGCTGGGGGATGCAGGGGGCTGGCCAGCTGTGATGCTGAACAAACTGGGGGACCCCACTTCCCGGGGTAAAAAGGGGTGCGGCGGGGACTCGGTGCCCAGGCCGGCGGGAGGGGGAGGGGGCGCGAGTGGGGCTGCGCGCCGCAGACAAAGGCTCCGACAGGTCCCCGCGGGCGTCGGCCACCTCCACGGCGACACTTACCTCGGCCGGCCCTGGGCCTGGGGTTCTCGGTGACCTCCCGTCCGCCTGCCCACCTGCCCGCGCCCGGACCCGGACCCGGACCCTGCGCGCTGCGCCCCGCTCCCCGCGGCTCGGGCCGAGAGCGGCCCGCGTCCTCCGCGGGTGACCGGGACCGCCGGCCCCGGTCCGCGAGCGCGTGCGGGGGGCGCAGCGGCGGCGGCGAGCAAAAGCCCGGCCCGCGCTCCGCCCCGCCCCGCCCGGTCCGGGCCCGCCCACCACCACGCCCCTGCTCTAGCTCCGCCCACCACCACGCCCCTGCTCGAGCTCTAGCTCCGCCCATAGACACGCCCACAGAACTCCCGTCCATGACCACACCCCCGACCCACCACCCGTGGCCACGCCCCCCGCGCCTCCGCCCCGCCCACACCTAGCCCCTTCCCCATCCCGCAGCACCGGCCCAGGCTTGTGAAGTCTTGATCTCTAACACTCCGGGACGGGGAATGGTGGCCCTGGCGACCCCACGGTGGCCTGCACATTCTCACTGTCCACCCCTCAACCTAGGATGGGTAGGAGTTTTCTGAGGACCGTAGTTCCCAGCCTGGGATGTAGCTGCCGCCTTTCTTTCCTTCCTTCCTCTCCTTCCATTCCGTCCCCTCCTTCCTTCCTTCCTTCCTTTCTGTGGAGTTTGAACTCAGGGTCTACACCCGGAGCTACTCCACCAGCCCTTTTTTGTGATGGGTTTTTTTGCCTGGGCTGGCTTCAAATCTTGATCCTCTGATCTCTGCCTCCTGAGTAGCTGGGATTACAGGCGTGCACCACCAGAGCCCAGCGAAGCTGCTTTCTTGTGACACCCTGGTTTGGTCCCCAATTCCACCCACATCTTTTCTCTCAGCTTGGAATCCTGACTGGTGCCACACCTCTGGCTTCATCCTTGCCAGGGAGTCCCACACCTGCTTCCACCCATGGTTGGAGCCTCTTTCTCAAGAGTTGAGCTAGACAGGGCATGCTGGTGAATGTCTGTAATCCCAGCTACTCAGGAGGTGGAGACTGGAGATCAGAAGGCCAGTTCTAGAGACTTCATCTCAAGCAACAACCAGCCATGTCTGTCAATCCCAGTGACATGAGTGCAGCCTAGGCAAAACCCAAGACCCTATATGAAAAGTAACTCAAGCAGAAAAGGGCCAGGGTGAGGGCTCAAGTGCTAGAGTGCCTGCCTAGTGAGTGCAAGGCTCTGAGTTCAAATCCCAGTACAGGTATCATGAGTTCAAGAGCCTCATGTGCCTGCAAGACCATGAGACAGCGTGACAGAGAGGAGGGGAAGGAGGTGGCAGTTATGCAGGTGGTCCACAAAGGCTGCTCTGAGAAGGGGACTTGTGAGCTGAGAGACTTGAGTGACAACTGAAAAGGAGTCCAGGGGGAGGTTTGTGGCCCGGTGCTCTGGGCAGGAGGAAGGAGCCAGCGCCAAGCACCGAGGCCAAGTTAGGAAGGCAATATGGTGGTACAGGAGGGAGGGAAAGTCGGGAGATGGGGTCAGAGATAGAAATTAGCCACAGGGGATTATTATTGGCCACAGGAAGAGGTGGAGTCCCAGGGAGCTTTTGCCAGTGGAGAGAAGAAGAGATCTGTGTTTTTATTTATTTTGGTGATAATGGGATTTGAACTCAGGGCCTCGCACTTGCTAGGCAGGTTCTCTACCATTCGATCCACTCCACCAGCCCTTTTTTCTTTAGTTTACTTTTTAGATAGGGTTCGTGCTTTTGCCTGGGTCTGGCCTTGGACCAAAAGATCCTCCTGCCTCTC